CGCTGCATTCTACGACGTCAACAGCCAGATGCACGAGATGCTCATCGCTGCCTTGAAGGCCACCTTCGGCTCCAAGCTGTGCCCACGGCAAGAGCAGGTGTTGAGGCGCAGGCCATCCCTGAGAGTTCACCGCTAGTTAGACGACGTGTATGATCGAAACTATCCCTATGACCGCCACAGCGTGGGGAAGCCTCGCCTAGCAGCGGATTGATGGAGCTTTCATTATTTACGATAATTCTCGGTGCACGGCATTGGAAGTGCGGTATAAATAAAGGATCGTGACATTTGTATTGATGGCATACGTGAACGTCTGAGTTCTCATTGAAAAAAAAAAAGTTTAATGTCAACCCTATCACCATTCCCCCTATTAAAGCAGCAGGTGACCCTTCGCTGGATGTGGAGCGCCGGATACCAGGTGATAGTTTTCTACGACAACCGGGACAGCGTGTCTCTGCACGAGCAACTGTGGCACAACATTCCGTACCTATGGGGAGACACGACGGACATCAAGAAGCTACTGGAATACCTCAACCGGGAGCTGCAGCTGGGACGGAGGGGTGAGCCACACACAGGGGAGAGAGGGGGGGGGTCCAGACGACTACATGGGCAGTACAGGACTGCGTGGTGCAGAGCAATCCGAAAATAACTTACAGGAGCACGCTGCCACCACCTCAATAAAAGCCCGAACGAAGGTGGTGTCGCGTCGCTATAAATTGATACACGAATATTAAAATATGCTGCAATGCACATTGATGTCGGTTGGGTGGCGCTGTGGGAGCGCGGCAAATGCCTAGTCACTGGTTACGAGTTCAAATCCTGATTGCCGACGACTTGGCCCATCATCATGTGTTCCAGGTCCATAAAATAATTTACCTCCTTTGTAAAAGATGATGGTGGTTATCACACAGGCTAATTCCTATCGTAGAAATGTAATTATCACGACTTGACTCTGGATCATCATTTGATATGCGCTCTGCCGAATGCTTGTTTGAGCACCAGTACATGCTTTTGACATTTTTGACTGCATCCATGTGAATTATTTGTGGCAGATGGATTTTTTGTGGCGGGCATGAACCTGACGCCAGACTCGCGGTACATCATGGAGAACCTGCGCGGCTCCATCCGTCAGTTAACCGAGGGCGCGCTTCCTGCCGTCATGGAGTGGCTCGTGCAGCAGACTCCGGGTGCCGCCCCCGCTTGTGTAAACGTGATTGGCACAGACTTCACGGTGCCCGACGTCGTGTCCACCATTATTTCCCTCAATTGGAAACTCTTGCAGCGTGTTCCCGACGCCACAAAGGTTTTACGGTAGTTCATCGGCGACAGTCGGAATCTCGATTTGTAGCGGTACGAAAATGTGTTCTCGTGTACCCGTTCAGCTGTGAATCCATTCTCGGCAAGTTATATTAGTGCTATATTAGAGCTGATTGCAAATTTGATTGGTTAAGGGAATATCTGATGTATCAAGGTTATTTCACATTTAATGATTGCGAATGTGAACTCTTTTGTAAAATTATTCCCAGTGGTTGGAACATCTGATTACTGTATAGTGGCAATAGTGTGATACCATTTTTTTATTATGGAAAGATTGCACTGCAATATTCCTGCTGACCAATAACAAATGAATGTGTGATACTGCCTACTCTACCGGTGGCGCAGCGGTTTGCACGCTCCGCTACAGCCTCAGCGACCCCAGTTCGATTCCCGCTATTGGCCAACACCAGTGATTATTATCTGAACCGGTCCCGGGCCTCCCCTAGGTCGATTCGGCCTCATGAGTACCCGGTGTAGTGTGTAAACATTGCCCTTGGGGAGACAAAGACGGTTGGGTATGGTGCTGGCCACCCACCCCCTCATGGGCCATTCTGGCCTTCATAAAGGCTCGCTAACAGCACTTGCCCCAACAGTATGTTAAGGCTATAAGAGGAATCTGTCTTTTTTTTCTTCTAAATTTAAGTCTTGTATTTGCTGTATTTGAATTAACAGAAACCAAAACATAACAGCAATATTTGTGAGATTGTGTTACAGGCTGCTGGGGAATTGGGAAACTAATTAGTGTCTTATGCCACCCAGACTAAGCAAAAATGATCTGTTCTCAAGTTTTCTTTAGAACCAACATAACAGGCTAAAGACATTTTGCCATCGCGTGAAATCTTAAAAGTTACTTTACCATCGGTGCGAGACTGAGATGAGCCATTAGAAAAATTCGCATAACAGGATGGACTGTAAACTTCTGAACTATGGGTGGCTTTAAATTTAAAGTGAATCGTGGCATTCATTGAACAATGAGATAATTGTGCTTGGAAATGACAATCTCCTGCGTACAAGCGGTTAGATAATTGAGACTACACCAGGCTGCATTTTCAGCATGTCGACTGTGTGGATATTTTCCCCTGCAGTTAACGACCTACTTGAGCCAGTTTGGCTGTGTGTGCTGAACAAGCTCACCCTGAAGCCAAAAAGGCATAATTGAATCATATATTTTTTCTTTTCCCGGGAGTAGCAGTGAATTTCCATGCAATGCATGCAAGTCATTTGTATTCTAAGCACGCATGTGCAGGGACGCATTTTTGTGTTAATCACTCGGGGACATTATGGATTGGAAGTGTTTAAATGAAAGATTTAAGTTGCTTTCAAACAGTGGTGGGCTTTTGTACAGTTATGATTTTTGTATTTTTGAAAAATGATTATCTATATTCTATGAAAAATAAAAAGCACTGATGGCACGCCTTTTTTCTGTCTGAGCACAACATGAATATAGCCTGCTCTTTGCATTATAGGGGACAAGATGAAACATGAACAGACATTTGAAGGGCAAAATGAAAATGCTCTTCTTCCTGCGACAAACCATACTGCAACTGAGGACATACAGATCGTCCGCAAATATAAAATTGCTATCAATTGTCTAAATCATGTAGATAAGATAATGTGCGAAATCAATTGTTTAAACCTAATCGGCCACGGATAGTGTATAATTTAGTGTGACTTTTGAAGATCAATAAAAAAACAATCAACTTTCAAAAAAACCCTGAAGGCATAACCTTTGCATTGCACAGCTATACATTCATATCGCTACGCTGGTGACTTTTGCATTTGAGACTTTCCTGGTCTCGTTAGTGCTCATCTGGTTAAGCAAGATTAATTTGAACTGGATAAAACTGCCTATCATAATTACTGATACATACTACTTGACGATCTTATAATTTCAGAGCATATTATGACAGCTGAAATGCATTAACAAGGCATTGAACAATTGAGAAGAATTTTCACCAGTGATTATCCAAATTGAAATGTATTGTTTATGTACACTAACCGAGAGGCATGATGTATGGAAGATTTGTCCGCATGTTCAAGTCTGATAATACTGCACATTCCTGGGCAGGCATGACAATGAATTTGTAACAAAAGACAACGCACAAGGTGAGTGTCAATTGGTTGGCACAACTTGGCAACTGTAGAAAATTAATTGTTTTATATCATTTAGGAATTGTATTAACGAACTTGAACAAATCAGAATAAAGAAGATTTATATGCAATGGTGTCTCCATTACTTCATCAAAAATATCATCCATAAAATGGCCATCAGGCCAAATTTGACTTGCAAACAAGGATTTCCATTGAGAAAGTGAAACAATGCACTCTCCGAATGGTGGCTGTGAAAAAATGTATTGGATTATATGGAAAGGAAAGACTGAAAGACTGCTCGGTATGCTTAATGCACAATGTGTTCAGTGCAGTCTTCACCTTGGCTTACCACAGCCCATTTTTTGATCGTTGGATTACCCAGTACATTGCCTTTGCTGCTCTAAAGCTACCAAAAACTGAAATAGTGAAATATGAATGAACAAGCTCATGTTTGTGTTGGTAAGACCATATCTTGGAAGCCAGTCGTATTGGAAGATACTGCCATTGAGTTGGCTCCAGTTCAGAACGTCAAGCACAGGACATCCTGATAGGAACTTTAAGGACATGTATTAAAGCATAAATGACTCTTCCAATGATCCAAATTAAACTGCAGTCCAGACTTGAAAAGGCACTCAAACGCCTTTATGGGCAAGGCTACATTAACAGTTTGGGTAATAAGAAGCATGACCACTCAGTCGATCTTTTTCAATCATGCATGTATGCACCCACAAATGTAAAAGCTCAAAGAATACAAATTGTCCTTAAAAAAAAACTGGTTCCCTGCAGTTTATTGGCTGCACTGTGCCAAAACCTCCAATCATGACAAAACAGTATACAGTAGAACCCAGTCACTTCAGATCAACTGCTTTCATGCAAAATTGTGGTATAAAATAATTGGACCACACTGGTTTGATTTTCCTTTTATTAAATCTGCCTGGTCGTTGTACGTTTTTTTAAAATTCCAAATGCATATTGTACGTCCCTTGTTGTGGAATTCTTTTTTGTGGTGGTTGCAAGCAGCTTAAACCCTTTAGTGAAGCTACCACCTACCAAATGGGTTTATCCTCCTTTATAACAGCGAGACTCCAGCTGCAGCCAGCTGTGACACAGCTAAAATGCAACGTTATTTGTTTGAGGGAGAAAAACTTGATTACCGCATCAGCTTTAAATTTATTTAAGGGGACTTTCTGTAAATCACTGCACAGAAATGTAATGTGCATATGCCAACCGTGCATTTATCCATCACATGTGCATTTTGGTACCAAGACGAATAACATTCTAAAAACTAAATAAAATGACCATCTTATTATCCGTTATAGATTTTACATGTAAATTCTTTAGAAAAATAATTTTACGCAAAATACATATTTAATTGAACTCTGGATATAAACACAAATTGGTATCAGCAGTGTGAAGTTGCATAAAAATGTCATTAAAATATACTGTAACACTTTAAAAAGGCACTAAACAAGAATTTAAAACAGGTTCAGAAAACAGCCATACGAATTGTTGATAACTTAATAGAAAAATATCTGGAAATATATGCCACTATTTGGGTGCAAGTTTAAGTAAATAAAGATAAAACTTCAGGGAAAGACAATTATATAGTTTATTGTAATACATCTACAGGAATGCATGAAATCATTGTGGCACTGCAGGAACATTTCTAAGCCATGACAATAAACAATGCAATAATGTAAAATCTTTCAAATTGTTTCCAAAAAAATGTTAATGCAATTACACAAATTCATATAACTAGAAAAATTGTGTCATTATTTATAGATTATCAATGAATTTAATAGAATACAGCAGTGTCGCAGCGATGAGTGCAAAGCACTTTCAACCCAGGGACCAAAGTTCTATTCCTGGCCTTGGCGAAACTCAGTGGCAAGTGATATGTGAACAGACCCTGGGTCCCCGACTTCAACCTACAATGACCAGCAAGGTGAAGTATGGTCAAACGACGTTCACAACTGGCAGCATAGGAAGGCCTTCATCCCATAGTGGATTGATACATTTTTTTGTAAATATTGATGAGGTTTTTCAACACTCAAAAATAAAACTACCGTCACACTACACATCTGGATAACACTGAAAAGAAATGCATTTGTGGGAGAGGATGGTTACGGAGGACAAACTGCTTGTAGCTAAGACATTTTTGCACAATGCCACGGAAGAGTAACACAACCCAGTTCTCTCAACATTGTTTACTTTACAAAACACCATCGGTACATAGTTTAACAACCGACACTTGAACATGTTACCAATATACAATTTTACCAGGGAACAAAGTTGCTGTTCATGGAATGTCAGCGATTCAGTGCGAGCCTGTTTACGCTGTCTGTCGCAACAGTCCACTATTGATATATGCTGGCACTATTCGCCCATTGCCTTCCAAATATGTATGGCAATTATTATGTAGGTGGGCATATCACTATGCATGTGGCTTAGATGGGACATCACAGTGAATGAAAACTCAAACCCTTTTCAGCATTTCAAAGAAATCTTTCAACGGTTTAATTTTCCAACATTTTACGGGCAGTGTTTTAAAGTCTGAATCATTAAACGTACGCACCATCACTGTCTGTGAGAAGCTGCATACCAATTCCAGTTGTCTGGGCTGTATTCCAAAATAGAACAAGGTGCATATGATCAAGCCATTGGGGAGTTAATGCTGGAATAGTTCTCTTTTTTCCCATTACAACCAAAAAAATGACTAACACACAAAAGCCATAAAATACAATTACATTTTCCCCAAGGAAACAAAATACATTTCAACCCACGTAACATTGCCACTAAAATGTTTCTGAATTACCCAAAAAATCCATATAAAATTATCTCATTGACCAGTAGAAAACATTTGGTCCATACACTGCTGTCGAGTAAAAGTGCGAGCTATGATTTAACTGAAATAAATTTCTTCCAATTCAAAAAATGTAATTTAAAAAAATGTCCCGACGATGTGGTGTCATCATCAATTGAAAATAACTTCTGGCAGGGGGAGGGTGAAATGCAAGACACTGAAAACGTTACAAACATTATAAAGCATTTAAAAACATCTCTTAAATGAAAATGCAACCTCGAAATCAAATAAAAATAGCCCAATGGTACCCACAATACTCAATGAGGCAAATCATTAAAATAGCAAGGACAACAATGTTTTAATTATAAGCATTAATAGCATTGTACAAGTGGCACAGCCAGATGGGTGTTAAAGGACATACCGAGGGGGCTCAAGCTGGCTTGCCGTGCCCTTCCACAACACGTGCACACGATGTGCATCGTGTATGGAGCATGCACATTGGGTGCACGATGGGGGGGGGGGGGGGGTCTGGAGTTATTCAAAGGGAAAGAATTACGTCCCTCCTTTGTCAACTGCCTCTCGGTTGCTGTGCCGCCTCATTAACTGCAAAATGTTAAAACACCTAACATCCAATTTACATAATTTGTTGCATCAAAACTGCTTTTTTGTGTTTAGTTTGTTGTCCGCCCACAACTCCGATTTGCATGGTAGGCTACGTCCGGTGGAACTTCAACATACATACATGTAGAAATAACAGTGTGGATACAAAGAACCAAAAACTGGAACAAAAGCCTATTGTGTAAAGAACAGTAAAAATCCAAATTTATGTATACAGTCCACGAGTGATGCAAATTAATCAGATGTAGCTATTCCAGTTGTTTACATTAAAGTCTGGCTTTATTGCATTGCCATTGTTTTAATTCAATTGTTGTTTTGGAACCCAAGGAGGTGGAATACAAATGTTTCCCAAGGTGCATGTATTATGACGATGGTGGTGCTTTCAGGGGCATCCATTATCATTTTCGCGAGCAAATACTAAAAGGCCCTTTTGGTCCTTTACACCCTCCCAAAAGGTGTTGCACAAAATGGGCTGTTGTGCAATAATTTAGTATTTTATAATTTCATCAACTGAACCCATTCCCCCACGTGTGCTTGATAAACCCACGAAAATAATTACAATGAACCACTTAGGTCGTCAATGGCTGTGTAGGGAATGAGCGAAATACAGAAGCATCTGTAGCAAAATAATATATAGGTGGACATTAAAAATGTAAAAATAAAAACAATTCATTGGATTAGCGAACATGAATAATAACAATCCGCGCCTATACATATTCATTCATTAACAAAGACGAATTATTTTGGGGAAAACCAATATTTTACAAGCCCTGCTAATGCATTAAGATATGCAACATAATACAGTGTGGCTACAGTACCAGTTTAAATGTGCAAAACTAAATATTTAAGTTGACAGTAGTAGACTAAAAAGCAATACAAGTTGTGCACATTGATGCACAAACTACCAAGCTAAGATTTAATTATTATTTATTTTCATGTGAATATTTTTTGAAAAAGAAAATTTGCCAACCAAAATCATTAAAAAATATAGATTTCAAATGACTATCCGGTGAATAAAAACAAACTTTGTTCAATAACAAGTAAATAAGAATAACTAAAACATAGCAAATCTAATTTCAGTTAACTTATTGATTAAGATGATAAATATATTACTGTATTTAAAATAATGTGTTGTCAATTTAGTGATGTAAGAACAAGCAGGTAAATGAATCACCCAGAATTGCATAAAAGTATAAGATATTCTTCTTAAAAATACTGGCACAAAACAATAAGGCAGAAAAACGACTTTGTTTAGTAACTGTCGACCTAATGTTTGCAACACTATCCGTCATGTCATCATTGTGATATTTACAGCAAAACCTCCCAAAGCCAGCCAGAATTCAGCATGAGCCAAGTCGCTACTTGAAAATAAATAAAATAATAAAATTAAAGAAACTAAAACCTCCAACTGGAACATTATTTGCGTGCTAATTGGGGTGCACGTGGTAGGATATGGGATTCTGCAATCAATGCCTCAGTCTACCACATTGTCGTCCGGTGACGATTTAATACCCTCTGTTGGACATTATTCTCATACATGAATTAAATACATTTTAATTTCTTAAAAAATTGAAGTTTAACTAATTAAACATTTATTTTAGAAAATGTATGTAAAACAATTCAGAGCACAATGTCATCACCGGGCCACGTGGTAAAACCGGTCCATCAGAAGGTCTCTTCAGTCCTTCCCTCACCCCAATTGACCTCATCCTTTCCACCTGTGTTTCATGGTGATGGTGTACTGGATTTAAACTGTACACAAGTGATTTCGGAATTCTCATAAAATCGCACACATTTGATATTTTTAATAGTTCTTCAGTGTTCATTAATGTATTAGGTGTTAATTATGGTTCAATGAAATTGATATGTAGTTAAATTGAAAAATATAAATTATTGGCATTATAATAGAAATCCCGACTTTACCAGAAAAATACTCTCCCCTAATTAGTCCGGCTTTGAGACGTTTTAGTATTTATCACAAAATAATAGTTCCAAGCAGATGGCACAAAACATTTAATCATCCGACTTGTAAAGGGATGGTTAAAGAATGTGAATGGATTTTTCCAGTGTTCTCATTTGCAACGAAGTGCACTGCCGGGAAAGCAAATAACATTCTCTCGATGGCAAACAGCAGTCGCCAAGAGGAAGTATCATAAGATGTCCCATTAGTAAGCATTCTGATTTATCCAAGTCTTTCCCATGAGCGTAATCTGAAAGAATCTTGACGGAAACGATGATAGTAACCAAACCTCATTTTGATCGATGATTTGGTGTCCCTGTTTGAGTGCTGACCATCAGAACATGCTGCAGTCACAGTTTTTTGGCATGTATTCTGCTGTTTAGCAACACATGATTGTTGGCAGAAACTAACAAGAACACACAGCTGGCACAATGCCTCCATGTGACAATTCCTGAAATGGTACTGAATGTATTCTTTTTCAGTTTTCATGGAAACTTCAAAGTACAAAAAAAAAACAAGTAGCAACACTTGACTTTCCAAAGTACACGTGGAATTGGAAATTCTATCCACAGTAGCCGTAGGTTTGACAAATCCTCCCAACACTTTCTTACTCAGGAATGTTTAATTATACCTCCTGACATTACATCAAGTGCTCGCACACTAAAAGCAGACCGACAGCTTGATCACGAAAGCTGCCCACTCTCAAGTCTGCCTCAGTGCCACCGCCTACAAATGCTCGCCATTAGTCAACCTTGTTGATGTGAGTTGACTTGCATGATGTCTTTAAGCACATTTTTTGTGCTACAGCCCAACATATTACGAGGATAAAAGATTTACTTCTTGGGCTTATTGTATTTTTTTCACTTATTCGGAGGGCATCAACTTGACGTTGACAACCTTTACAGTGATTTATTGGGATAAACTCAACGCCCGCCAGATTAAATTGTACAGTGGAAAGGAATTTCAAGTACTTATGGCTTGAAAACATTTCAAACTCGAGCCATCTCGTTTTCTGCAGGAAAAAAACATGGCAGCCTTGTCGACGTTTCTGGGAGACAGGAATTCTGTATGTTCACATTTGTCATGGTGCATTGTAAAAAAAAAATGGTGTAAGGCAGTTGAGGCCATAGCCTACCTCATTTCATATTTTAAAAATAAGTTCAGAAGATAGTTGCGTAAATTATGACATTTCCCAAAGCGATTCTTCCACCTGGCAGTGGCTCCTTGTATTCAGTGAATTTTCTTTTATTTATGAGATCAATTATGTCATACTCCAACCAAATTTGCAATGCTGCATTTTTATAATGATCGCATTTCGAAATGTGGTTGAGAACACTGCTGCATTAGCTTCATACCTTCTGCTCACCATTTGGAAAGTGTCTCATGATGAAATTGAACAAGTGTTATATCACCGCATTATATGGTCAACTTCTGTGCTGTGAAATTACTACCTCACAGCGAGTTTATATTATTCTTCCCTTGATGGGAACATACATTTGGGACACAGTGACACTTGGAAAAATAATAACCATGCAGGGGTTTAACCCACGAAGCCATTTACTACTTCCATGATACCATTAGATGTAACTAATATTCTGGACCACATTTTAGTATAGTTCAGTGCCTTCTGATGGTTATAGAATAAGGCCTGCAAAGAACTAACTTAATTTATTTTTCTCAAAATAAACAATTTCTTCTCATTGGTTGGACCACAGTGCCATTTAGAACCCAATGTACATTTATGAACAAAATTTAAGGAAAACATTTTCAAACAAGGTTTGGCTTAAACAACGTCTCGTCAGGGTGTTTGTTTTGTTTTAATGAGTCCTTGCAGAATGCCTCAATGGCTCTCTCAGGCTTGGACGTCAAAATGAATACTCAGAATGGCAGCGAGCTTGGTTAGTGCAGGATCTCGTGGCCCACGTTGTACGGCAGCACAGAGCTCACGTAGTAGGCGACGCCAAGTGATAGCAGGGCAATGGCCAGGATAAGCATCAGGACTTTGCCAAGGCCGAGGTCAGCCACGACTTCACGCCAGGTGGAGCGCACGCTGGACAGCACTCCTTCCTCGCGTAGAACGCCTGGGTTCAGCAGGCTCTCCATTACCCTGGCAAAAATAAAGACAAAGATCCCCCAGTATAGCCTTAACAGACTGTTGCCACAAGTGCTGGCACACACACAGACACATGCAGACTTTCACAAAACATATCTAAGACAGGGGTCGACAACCTGCGGCTCTGGAGCTGCATGCGGCTCGTTTAAGGACTGCAGCGTGGCTCTTGAAATTCTAAAATAATGGCTCTTCCTTGTTATTTTGGTTGCCGACCCCTGACCATGGAAGTCGAGTTCACCATGGGCAGCGGTCGACAACCTGCGGCTCCGGAGCTGTATGTGGCTCATTAATGACTGTTTTGTGACGTTATTCACATATATTGCATTTTTTTTAGTAACCAAATTTTTTTTAATGTATCTTTTTGTTTTGGTTGCCGACCCCTGATCTAAGACATGTTATGCATACTTTTTTGCGTGGTGTTGTCCGACTTTCATTTTAACATAAAAAAATTACCTAAGATTATAACTTAATGCTCTGAAACAAATATGATAAACTATTATCTTGCCTTGTAACATTAAACAGATGTGAGGAAAAGGTTTTCCCCTTTTTTCTGGCAACAAAATAGGTGTTAAGATGTTAAAACACCTGTTTTGTTGCCAGAAAAAAGGGGAAAACCTTTTCTCATATTTTGGTAATGGCAAAGGAGGTCCCATGATTAAACAGACAGCTTCACATCCTAGCTTAAGTTGCATTGTTCATTTACTGCAGTGAATTTAAAAGGTGGCATAGCTAAAGGTATAACTTCAGACAGAATAAACAATCATCTGAGGCTCATGTGACTGGCTTGTGTGGAATGTTTCACTGCGATTAGCACGGTTGGCTACTTACCGTGCGAAAGAAGTTGAACGTACATACATACTTATCTGCATTTGTTTATAGAATTTATACATGTCCAGTGGTACACTCATTCTTAGTCAATTAAACTTTAACCATAACGTTTTACCTTCAAAAAAGTAATCAGCAGAATGAAATATATATATAAAAATCAACTACTGTGTGGTAAAGAGTTTTATAGAAGGATCTACTGTTTGTAGGGGTGTCTTAATCATTAAGTGAGGTGTAAAACATTTGGTAATCCTATATTCAGGATCCAACAGAGAATGAAAAATATCAAGAATCCAGAAATGTGCCATTAAAGCGAAGCAAATTACAGCATATGCAAAGTATCGATGTATACAAAAGGCAGATTAAATTCAGTGTGGCCTCGACTCTGGTGGGCCCCATTTCCTGCTGTTAAAGTGATTTTCTCCCCATTTCCAAAGTACTGTATCCACAGATGTCATTAAAGCTGCTTCGATTGACTCTGCTTAAAGGACATATATTTGCGAAATGCTACTTTTTCCTCACCCTCAGCTGCTCTCTCATTCCACAGGAAACATCCAACCATGACATTTGTAGAATACAGTAATACCCCGGTTTACGCCGGGGATGCATTCCTGAAAAGTGGCAAGATGAATATCCAAACGGCGTCAATTAATGAGATTTACAGGGTAGGTGGTGGAGGAGAAGGCTAAGAGGCGATGAATAACGAGAGAGGACGGACAATGCGGTCAGCGACTTCAGTGTCGGTTGAGGCGATGCAAATCAGGTAGGGGTATTAATAAAGTGACGACTTATTTGCGAATTGATGTAAGAGGGTGAGACATAAATCAGGGTATGACTGGAGCAGATTTATTAAATGATGCATCTCAATATCAAGTTTTGCAATCTGCTTAAAGCAATGTAACTTATAAGCAAAGGTTGCTTGTAGGCTGTGTTAAATTTTGTATATAAAAAACATGGATCATTCGAACTCTACAATAATAAGCAGTGGATCAGGCTTGAACTTTATTTTGCTTAACCAGGTGATAATTAATCTGGGATTACTGAAATGCTGGGAATCAGATACGTTTCTCATCTTCTGCACCAAAATTTTTAAAGCTACTTACTACCTTTATGCATATTCTAGACTATACTGACATCATATACAAATCAACCTTTAAAACGACTGAATTTGCAAAAGTCTATCTTTTATTCAGCGTTATGCTTCATCTTACAAATTACTCCACTAAACACTGTGATCTTTACTCAAAGGCTGGTTATCAACCGCGTTCAACTCTGGAGATTCATTGGACCTATTAATCTATAATCCATACACACATAACTCTGTCCTTTACCTATCCAAAGTGTTTATTCAGAACCAAAGCCCTTGAAATATTAGATGCCCCACAACATTAACGTGTATTAAATCAAGCAGTCATTCTCTGTTCATATCCCAAAACACCCGAAATTCCATCGCTTATAATGTCTTCCATTACTCTCCCACGTAAATCAACATTTGAAGCTAAACTGTCAATTCTTTGATAACCTCACTTGCAATTTTCATCCAATAACTGTTCATTATTTCTTTAACCTAATTGGTAATTGTACTCTGCCCGAGCCATATTAGGCTCCAGATAAATTATTACTCCGCAATGATTTATGTTTGTGCACTATTTTAGAGCACTCAAGTGACAGTTGTTTTTGTTTCTATTTTCCTTCATTGTTGTCCTTTTGGCATTTTGATGACCCAGATCACTCTTGCGAATTAAGGCTATCCTGGCGTCTTGAATTAAACATATAAACACCCAGCAGCCGCCTACAGCCAATATCTTTTACACACAAGACTGCATTATGAAAACAAAGGTGGCACACTCATTTCACCGAGATGCCACCAATCTGAAGGAAAAAAATCAGTATGCAATTTTCATTGCTCGGATGATTGCATTTACATAGAGAAATACATGATGTGCCTAATCGGCATTCAAAATGAACAGAACACATCCTCACAGGTCGACTGTACTGCAAAAGCTCAAGTAAAGAGCAGTGTTATGTGACATGGCTTCGAGACATTGTTTACAACACAGTTCACAATACTCCATAATCACACGTGCTAAAAGAGAGGCTTTACTCAAGTCAGCAGGGGCATTTATGGCATTTAATTACCAACATCACATGCGTACTCTTGTACATCTACGTTGTATACTAATATCTGAAATTATTGTATTTAGAACAAAAACTGATAGTGAACACAAAAAATAAAATCTGCCTATGAACTTAATCAATAATTATGTACATATGCTGAATACACAAAAGTGAGTGTGCCATAGTGGAAAGTCGGTGCTATTTTAATCTTGTTCATTTCCATATGCCATTACAAGAATCAATATAGTAAGTGAGCTTCGCTTAGAGATCTAAATATTGTAATATCCATATAATTTCACCCGTCATTATTTTTCAGGAACAATTTTCAATTCAATTTCCAATCACAACCAAAAACTAACAGTAAAGTCACAAGTGGAACGGCATAATCTCTGTTGTTTGTATGAAAACATGTTCATATTTTGCCTAAAATTGGGTGTTGTTTGTATGAAAACATGTTAATATTTTGCCTATAATCGGTTGTTGTTTGTATGAAAACATTAATATTTTGCCTAAAATTGGGGGTCGTTTGTATGAAAACATGTTAATATTTTGCGAAAAAGTCTAATTTTGTTTACCCCCATTGCTTTATGTGGAGCTATGTGATCCATTCTCTATATCTGCTGACTTTTTCATTGTTTATTTTACCAATCTGTGGGGACTGCTCCATCATTATACTCTGTAATCATAGATGCACCCTAGTGTCGGGTGTTAAGTTACATACAAAAATACTCAACTGCCTGACCTCACATATGTATGTATGTATGCAGAACTTATTTCGCACCAAACGTAGCAAACACACTTTCTCACTGGCCACCCAAAGAACAAAGCAATCAGACATTAAAGCCAGCTAGCCAACAATAAGCCTCGGGCATAAGGGACACGTTAATAAATCGATACTCACTGGTGCCATAAATTACCTACTTCAAGAACATATATAACAGAAAATCTGTTTTGGAGAAGACAAATGGATTGCAATGGACTGCCATAAAATCATCTTGTACACTCAGCCTTTTGCATTTAAAACAAGTATGACCACCAATTTATACGTAAGATCTTTAGTCTATCAGCAGGATACACATATATTACATTGCTGTCAACCAATATTTTCAGCCAGTGAAAATAAAGGGTATGGTATTTACACTGTGCAGAACTATATACAATATACATTGAAAATATTTGGTAGACATTGTATTTTGAGGCTATCATTAAACTACCTTTAACAATGAGGACATTAAAAGTTTAAAGATAAATGTAATAGAACCAATATCATTCAATAAATATTTGAATATAACATTCATGATACTTAAGTCATGGGGATAAAGGCAATATAAAAACGTTAAAAAAGCAAGTAATAATACAACACTGCCATTATTGTCGATTAAGACACTAAAAAGTGTAGGAACTTTCCCCATGCTAACATGTCTTGTAAAATATGATTATCGTAACCCACCCAACGGCTACACGGCCATGACAATGTTCAGTGTCAGGTTTAACGTGGAGAAACAAAAGATTAATTATTTCATTACAAATAGGATACGAATTTGTTCACATGAATGGGTAAGTGCTAAAATGATGTACTATTTATTAAACCTGCTCACGTATATTTATACAATAGTTTAATTTAAAAAAATTAGATACCTGTATGCTTTTCCATACATTGATTTCTTTGTTATAATTATGTTTTAATTACCTTAAATATTCAGACCATTAAAGTAATTGTTTCACATCCCAAGAGGATAGTTGTTATTTAGTGCTGCCTCTGGCAAAAAAATGTCCTTCAAAATGTATGCATGGAAAATCTTAGAATGGGCAAATGCAAGTTAGTGAGAAAACAATGATCACTGTTGTAATAAACTCGTTTTGTTTATGCATAAACAATATGCCTATAATTATTTTAGAGCATTCATATTAATTTTTATAACCATAGCTTAAAATGTAGATTTAATGACATTTTATGGTGTCATTTTGACAGCACTTCTTAATATTTTCCTTAATTTATGGTTATGTTAAACTCGCCTAGAGTTTTTTGTATTAATAATTCAGCACTTCCTGAACATACAACATGCATACGCAGCAAAATTAATAATTTACTAAACTAATTATTAGCTACACAACGTTATACATCCATTGAAAACAATTTGTTTAAAGAGAATGTGTCTACTGTGTAATAATTTCAAGTGGACTAATTTTAACAACCTTTTAATTCTTAAATAAACACAACTTAATTTATACCATTAATATGATAATTGAACAAAATTTAATATTGCATATCACCTTATATGCATTTCCAATACAGGTTCAAAGCATTCCTGTAGATATGTGAAATACAATATGCAAACAGTAACTGGAATCTATGGTTGCAAGGACCCTGAACAAATCCCAGGAATGTGTACTGCTGCTGCTTCTAACCAACACATAACCTACAGGCTTAACGTCGGGGTTGCATTCCTAGAAAATGTGACTTAAATTGAAGAAACGTTAAGTGAAGCAACGTGAAGCAAAGCCTACTTTCCCATAAGAAACAATGCAAATAGGGGAGGTTATGTTCATGTGAAATTTCCTATCACACTTAAGAATATGATAAACATTCTTAACATATACATTTAATGTAAAAACTAATAACACTACTGATTAACCGTTGCTAGAAGTAGAGAAAAGGTTAGTTTAGGTTAACACTCACCCGTGTGTGCTATGAAGGGCCATTGCCCGAAACGTCGCCGATTTTATAGTTTTCTTTTCAGGCCACACACAATGTGGATCATTGACGAATGTGTCGAGTTAATTTTTTGGGAGAATTCATCTCAGGTCAGCTGGGTTCGTAGCACAGTGCACTAACCACTGTACCAAAGACCCCCCTGTAGCCTTTAACAGACTAGTGGCAAGTGCTATTAGCGAGTAGCACTTGTGAAGGCCGGCACGGCACACGAGGAGGCGGGTGGGCCAGCATCACGCACGCCCGGCCACATTTGTCTCCCAAGTGGCGACGTTTAATACACACCACACCAGGTATTCATTTGGGGCTGAGTCGAACTAGGGGAGGCCCAGGACATGATTAAGATAATCGCTGCCACGGATGTTGATAGTGGTGGTTGTGGGCAGAAATTAAACTTGGGTCTCTGCTGGGTTTGTATGCACAGGTCACCAACCACTGTGCCACCCCACTCACAACAATAACCGCCATTCGCTACGAAGTGGCGATGACATCACCAAAATTAACTGAGATGAGGGTACGCCGCAGTGTACTTTATAATTCCGCATACTGTAAAATTTCGCTCACCCATGTAGCCCAAGAAAGCGAGGACTTGCAGTAGTCTGGCCACGTAGATATACACTGGGCCAGTAGCGTGTGTCGCCTTGCAATGCACGTGGCACGCAGCCGTGGAAATTAGTTGCCCACCAGCAGCGACGTTAGAGCGATACCACACAACGTTAAATGCTTAAACGTTAAAGGGGCTGACGTTAAGCGAGGAGTGATTGTACTAGGAACCTCATTACTACAAGGACAATTTCTTCACCAAGTACCTATTATGGTTTTTATTTTAATTTCCAGTATATGGCTCGCATAACAGCAATTTCTAAATGTGGTGCAGTGATACAATTTAGACTTTTATATTAAAGTTACAAACCACAGCAGCAAAACGTGTAACAAAAAATTACCTTGATATTATTTGGTTTTGTTTTTCTAAATATGCAGTGATGAGGCTATGTAACATTCAAGGAGTGAACCAAGAGAAGATTAATAAAGTTGTTCAAAATACCTATTACAAATTAAACCCTAATAACATGTACTACCATATATGAAATACTTTACTTAATTCCTTTTACTTGAAACAGCCAAACCAATTAACATTCCTTGCACGATTTTTCCACAATGTCTTGAATAAGATTACATTTTAGGCTGTTAAATATTACACAAGTTTTAGCTTAAAGTACATTAAAGAGATTGCCAATTAAATTACATTTACTTTCCATTATGTATTCATTCAGGCTACCATTCATTTAAAATAGGTATATATGGCTTAAACTTTGGTGAATACCACTGTGTAGCTTGTGTTTCGAGCCTAAGATGTTCAAAACAAGTGAGTAGAGTTTAAAGTATTACAAAGAAACAGCATAATATTACCATGAGTTTGAAAAAAAAATACTGGCATAACCTCAGGCCAAACAAAACATTACAGAGGTTTCATGTTTTGGAAACAAAAACGGTTATAGACATGAAATGGAAATGCAGCTGCCAAAAGAGAGGAGTGGACAATCGAACAAAAAATCTGTGCAAAATCCCTAAGTGGTGGTTTTGTAAAAATTATTACACTTTATATATATATATTTTTTAGAAAGTCAGGAGTTAATTTTTCGGTCAGAAAGTGGATGTCAGGGTTAAAAATGAAAATCACATCATAATGCGCGATCACTGGAGAGAAACACATGCAGGAGAGGGTTGCCAGCTGGGATTATGCCCAGGCCCTCTCCTCTTTCAAGTGCCCTTCTTACACCTCACAAACCGTTGTTCCTTTTTGGGAATTCAAATAATTGTTAAAGTGCCCTGCCTTTGTAAGCAACTAAATCAGACCTTATGTACAGGGTGCTTAACAAAATATGTTAACACTTATATGGGACTATCATTTTTAATGGGAAAACAACGGATAATATACTGTAACATGATGACAAATGTATGTTAATAGCTTCAAAAAGTCAAAGGGTCTCCCCACTTGTTCGCCATCATTCTCAACGCATTCCTGGAATCTTCTCCAGGTGGTCTCTAGTGCCCGGAGGCACATTTCTTGCGGTATATTGTTGCATATTCTCACAAGTGTTCATACAAATTTTAAGCACCCTGCATATTGGGATAAAAATGGCACCACCATCCAAAATAATGGTGGCTTCTTATGAAGTCAGTTGAGAAGTTGTAAGCCTCATCTAGGTTAGTATGCATGCATAAAGCCATCTCTAGAGTTGCTATATAGGCAGTCTTTGTACGCGATACATATATATCGGTTTTTTTTTTTTAGAATATGAATATCGTATTTTCCCTCATATAACCCGCGGGGTATACCACTTTTTACAAACAAAACAAGACCCTGCGGGGTATATGGAGGTACGGGCTATCCCAAAAATATTTTACACGTGTGACATGTCATTCCTCGTTTAATTTGTTCATGGTAGGACTATCCACTATGCAACACTTACCTTTGACTAAAGCACTGCTGAATAAACCACTAACATTAAAATTGCACATGTTATCTTATCACGTTTTAAATTATTCGAATTGTTCGTACAATGTTTACATTGTGCAATGGGAAGGGCCTTAAAAAGCGTCTACCAGACGCGGAATCATAATTGCCGAGTCCCTTAGGTCGCTGCTATTGACTGAGCACTAAACAGTCGCGACCATGGGCTTTGTTTCAAACTTCCAATGGCTTTGTTGCCAGGAGGCAATGACGTTAGTGTAGTGCCGCTATTGTCTGCGCAGTGCACAATCTACCAGTGCTAAAACTGTACAGGGGTAACTACCGGTCCAGTAGCTGTAATATGATGAGTTCGAATGCTGGTAAGCCTAACAGTACACTTACTTACTTATCTACCAGTTATGTGTTACTTATTTATTGGATATTTACTTTAGTTACTTATTTACCATTTTAAGTTCGCTCGTTTCCAGTTAGTTTGTTTTCTTTGTGCACGTTATATGAATGTTAACAATTGATAGTGGAATATATTAAAAATGTAAACTTTGTATTAATATGATGGAATTAAGCTGCGGTAACGACGTTAAAGATATGAATGCATGCGGGATATATGACGATGTGGACTATCTGAAATTTGTTTTACACAAAACGCTATTTTTGCAGGGTATATGCATCTGCGGGTTATATGCGTATGCGGGCTATATGCGGGAAAATACGTTAAATTGCTATTTTTTAAGCTGAACCTCCGATAGTACTTTTAATGATGTACAATGGAAACAATTAGAATGGATATCTGTGCACAAGGAGCAAATAATTTCAACATAAAATAAGTACCATTGTGTCCAAACAGAGATATCCGTGATTACATGTGCATTACCTGATACAATTTATAACGTGGCCAGTATTTTGAGCATGCAGTCAAATGACTGACCTCATTTTTTCCGGCACAATCGGCAACTTAAAATGCTTGTTTATCTGCACACACGAGCCGTACCCTTCGTTCTCGGCCAGTGAAATGGCTCCCATGCTCCCCATGGTGGGTGGCGTGCCAGCAGCTAGGCCCTTCCCCTCTTGCTCCTCCAGAGACTCCAAGAGACGGAGCACCTCTTTGCACACTCCACGTCTCCGAGCCAGGACCAGTGGGGTGGCACCCTGGTGGTTGCTGTGTGCAGAAAAAAAGAACAAAAAAAATCACTCAATGCCGATCGCCACAGCACATCAATATTCAGCAGCACAGTGTCGCACTAAATAACGTAGGGGCGTTAAAGTGAAAAACAGACAAACAATTCTTCAAAGCAGACACTGTACTCCGTGCCACTGTTATATGCATCCTCCTTTATGCATATTGAGTGGCCCTATGCCAATAGGGAGTATCGTGGCTGGATCAGACATCAGGCACAATCAAAAGGAGCGTCCACATTTGAGAGCAGATGTTGTTGGAGACACTAAATTAGGTGAATATTATGGATAGTTGCTGGCACTGTGGAAATTAATAGCAACTCAACAGCACAGCCAGAATCAGAAAGGTAAGAAACGTATGTACAATTATGCACGTCCGGAATAGACAACAACAATCATGATGGACCATACGCTTAAAAAAAATGCACCGTACATTGCAATATCTTTAGCACAAGAAACACTATGAAATAGAAAACTAAAATCTGGATGATAAAAGCGTGCCTTTGTGATTGCAATGTCCATACAGTAAGCTTGTTTCCAAGCAGAATGACAAAGTGAAGTTCATGGCCGGAGATATGAAAATATACAGCCTTGAGTAATTACGCAGTGCGCCTGGATAATGGGGCGGTTCTGGAGATAATGAGACGCCAGAGGTTCACATGTCACAAGACTTGTCATCTTCACACAAATATATTGATTGTGGCACGATGTTCAAGCGAGATGAGAGCGCACCCTTACAGCGTAGCCCTGGTGGGGACACGGAGTAATCATCTATTTTAGATAGTCTGGCATGACACATTAGGTTCAAACATTCTCCGATGCACATTAAAGAAAATTATAATTATGTACATATCATTACTGGGAAATTTCACAAGGGGTGAACATTTTAAGTTATCATAGCAAAGATGAGTACAACATATGCTTCCCTCGTAACTGGCAAAGCGGGACCTATAGAGTCTAGAAGCAGACACAAAAGCCATCTTGGTAGCCTTCGAAAAGGTGTCCTGCTGTGCAGTTTAATGTCTGTCACACAGCAGCATCACATGCTTCAGTCAAACGCACATTTTAAAAGGAAATCCAAAGAAGCACCGAGCCATCAATTATAATGGATTATTGAAGTCACAACATATTCACTCGCAAAAGAATGGATGTTTTTGCTTTATATTTTTTATATGCTCCAGTGATCCCTGCAACCACAAGAAAGGCCATTACAAACACGACAATACTAAACAAACACGATGCTTGAAGAAAGAAAAACTCACTGAATTGGAGGGGGAATACATTTTTACACCACTACACCTTACAGCCTACGCCGCATGTTCATAATAAAACGACTCAATTAATTGTTATTATTTTTAAATGAGGAGCAGTGACATGGTCAAATATATTAAAGTTCAGGGCACAAATAATTTGATTTAAATGCAATCTCAATTTCCAAACCATAATCCCATCAATAACTGCATGAATCAATGTTAATCTAATAAAGCATATTATTGATGAATAACCAAAATAAAAGCGTTTCCAATCATATCTGTGGTGATTAATCTCAGGCATTTTAAATATTGCTCCTAAAGCTAAATATTGCAAAAAAAAATACACCCTCCAAATGCAACCAATAACTCATATGTAACCACTTTCAGCAACCGCAAATACCACCTAGCTCCCTCCGGCAAATCCACCATAACTACCACGATAAACTAAATGACAACACCACTATCACCAGTGGCTCCAATACAACCACTACCACCACATTTAGACACTCAATCACTAACCACGCCTGAAACAGCCCCACCACAACCAAAACGCCTCCACCTCAAGCATCTTCTACCACTTCCACAATCAACTCCAGCAGCTTCACCACCACCACCTCCAAGCAATGCATCTGCCACCACCAGCTAACCACAACCAGCAACAACCACTCTCACCACTCCCAGCACCTCCGATTAGCACGGTTGGCTACGTACGGTTGCGGAAGAAGTTCAACATACATACATTTATTTCCACCAATACCACAACCTCCATCATCACTACCAACAGCTTAACCTCTACAATGACCGGCCCTAAACTACATTTACCCTCATCACCTCCGCTTTATTCTTACTGACACCTCCACCCTCACCATTACAAACACCTCTCCACTCACCACCACTTTCACTACCATGCCACTCACCACCGTGATGCCACCCTCACCAACGCTCTCATGTCCTCCATCTCCACCACAACTGTCATGGCAGTTACACCACGGCACTGACCACTACCCTCATTACCACCACCCTAACCGTCTGTAGCCTCACTACCACCCCCCTTTACCACTATCCTGACCCCCGGGGGTCCACCCTTACCACCACAACCCTCAACATGACAGCACTCAATAATACTGTTACATGACTCGCCACCAAACCCAACCTCACATACACCACCCACAACACAGCATTACAATACCCACCACCATCATCGTCGTCTTCACCGCCACGCAGCACCACCACACCCTCCATATCACCATTATTAACCCACACCACCATCCATCCTCATTAGCACCACCTTCACCACTACCACGCACAACATTCTCACAAAATATTCCCCGTATAGCCTTAACAGACTGTTGGGGTAAGTGCTGTTAGCGAGTGGCACCTATGCACTATGAACGCAGGTACAGCCACACTAGGGGGTGGGTGGCCAACACCACGCCCGGCCGCCTTTGTCTCCCCCAGTAGCGACGTTAACACACCGTACCAGGCACTTCTCACACCCGCCCACCCCACACTCAACCATCACGACACTCACTATACAACTCAACCTCACCAACATCTTCAACACCACCACCACCCATAATATTCATAGCATAGGTTTTTGAGTCAGATCGCGTTATTTATAAATGTGTCGTAACCCTCCACCACCCGACAACGGCCAACCAGTAAAAAAAAGACGTGTCACGTTTTTCAAAGGACAAAACAATTCACTTCTTTAGCCCACCGGTGTGTGCTGAAGAGAGAATCAACAGCACCACCACCACCACATTTGCCCTCCCTCTCCCATCATCATCATCTCCCTTCCCAACCCCCTGTACCCGAGGTCCGGCCTGAGCCCGCTGGCCACGAGGAAGCGCACGGTGTCCCCGTGTCCGCACAGGTGCAGCGCCGTGTTGCCCTGCGCGTCGGTGGCCGCCAGGTCGACCCCGTGCCGCAGCAGGAGGCGGCACACGGGCAGGTGGCCCCGGGCGGCCGCGAGGTGCAGCGGAGTGCGGCCGCGGGCGTCGGGGGCGCACGGGTCCGAGCCGCTCTCGAGCATGCGGCGAGCGGCCGCCGCGTCGCCCTGGGCACAGGCCCGCAGCAGCGGGGAGGCCAGAGGGCCCGCGTCGGCCACCAGCACGTACGCCATTCACGATGTTAAATACACAATGATGATGATGATGATACTTCCTACACGGAATAATCACAGCACACGGTGGGAACGCTACCCAACCCCCCCCCTACCCCCCTCTCTTTTTTGTTTTCGTTACGCCGATTTTATGACAGGTGAAGTAAACGCATTGTTGCGCCGATGTTGATGTTTTATTTTCTTATTCTTCTTCTTCCTCTTCTTCCAGCGATTCAAGTTGCGGGTTAATTATTTATCAACGTGCGCCACTGTTAGTCACTGAATGTCGCTCTGGCCGCTTTCAACGTTGTGGTGGTGTCTGGTGTTGTGTGGTGGTGTGTGGAACGGGAGGGGGTCCAGGTGGGAGGTTGCACAGCTCGAGGTATGGGTCGCGAGACGCGGCTCACGGTTGCTTGTTGTTTTTGACGGCTATCTCCAACACGGAGGCATCAAGAGACGACGACGACAACAACAACAAAAGCGCTGAATCCGCGTAGCCGCCACCGCCGCCACCGCCGTCGCCTCCTGGCTGTGGGGGTGGTAGGCGGGGCCGGGGACTTGAGGGCAAAGAGTGGGCGGTCCCACCCCACTAGCCCCGCCCTCACTCCCCACACTCGCCCCGCCCCCACCTTCACTAGCCCCACCCTCACTCTCCACACTAGCCCCGCCCCCACCTTCACTAGCCCCGCCCTCACTCTCCACACTAGCCCCGCCCTCACCTTCACTAGCCCCACCCTCAGTCTCCACACTAGCCCCGCCCTCACCTTCACTAGCCCCGCATTACTAGCCCCACCTCTACTAGCCCCACCCCCACTCTCCACACTCGCCCCCATCTTCACTAGCCCCGCCCTACTAGCCCCGCCCCCACTAGCCCCGCCCTCACTCTCCACACTCGCCCCGCCCCCACATCCACTAGCCCCGCCTCCACTAGCCCCGCCCTCACTCTCCACACTCGCCCCGCCCCCACCTTTACTAGCCCCGCCCCCACTAGCCCCGCCCCACTCTCCCACGCGCCCGCCCCTCACTCTCCACACTCGCCCCGCCCCCACATCCACTAGCCCCGCCTCCACTAGCCCCGCCCTCACTCTCCACACTCGCCCCGCCCCCACCTTTACTAGCCCCGCCTTCACTAGCCCCGCCCTCACTCTCCACACTCGCCCCGCCCCCACCTTCACTAGCCCCGCCCCCACTAGCCCCGCCCTCACTCTCCACACTCGCCCCGCCCCCACCTTCACTAGCCCCACCCCCACTAGCCCCGCTCTCACTCTCCACACTCGCCCCGCCCCCAACCTTCACTAGCCCCGCCCCACTAGCCCCGCCCCCACTAGCCCCACCCCACTAGCCCCGCCCAATCCCCACGAGCCCCCGCCCCTCCACCCACACCTAGCCCCGCCCTGACTACACCGCCCCCACTGTGTACGGGTCCCCGAATGCAAATGCTGAGAACGAAAACGCGAAAAAGATTCTTAGGTTTATAACTAAATCTCTCTGTGTCATCCTAGTAACTAGAGGTGGTAAACAGTACTGTGGTGTAAACACTCAGCTCATTCCCCCCCTTCCACCAACCACCACCGATTCAAGAATGAATTATTATGTTTTAGGTGGCTACGTGGCTTCGAGTCCGTAGCCTTGAGCTTCTTACCGCTGCAATAATCCGTGATTTAAACCGAGGTCTCAAATGTTGGTGAACGTGTCTATCACATTTGGTGTTGCGCTCAATTAATTCCAGCTCGGTGAATGATAACATCTACGAACATTGCTCCGCGCAGCAAGGCGGGTGGGGGAGTGTTGTGGAATATTCGTCGCTTGACAATTCAGGAAGGGTATTAATTATAGATTTGAAGCTTTCGTGACTGCAAGGGTCCCATACTCTTAGGTTTTTTCGGTAAAGTCACGTAGGTAAAAATAAATAATAAAAATAAATAATAAAAGAAATAATCTTTATTTTAAAAATTCTAGTATTTTCACTTTTATTATTTATTTTTACCTACGTGACTTTACCGAGAAAAACCTAAGAGTATAATTCAGGAAGGGTTCTGTGACACAGTCTCTGGGCTATGAGACATCTTTACCTAGTGGCAAAATATAATAGGTTTTTACCCTTTCAACTGGTATAAAACTGACACCTTTATACAAGGGATCATGTTTGCAATAACCACAACACAAGCAGTCAAAATGCAAACAAAAAGAAACAACTCTGATAATGACAGTGCATATCATTATCAATGACAGTGCATATCATATAATGACAGTGCATATCATTATCAGAGTTTATTTTTGTTTGTATTTTGACTGCTTGTGTTGTGGTTATTGCAAACATGATCCCTTGTATAAAGGTGTCAGTTTTGTATCAGTTGAAAGGGTAAAAACCTACTATTAAAGTCTCTGGGATTGATGCACTGCTCTGGACGACTTCTGAATGGATTATTTTGTCTCCCGACGTGATGGTGACTGCACAAACAAGGATAATAAAAACAAAATGTTGAGGAAGACAACAAAATCTATGATTTGTAACGATGGGGTATATGTAGTGACCACTGTAGGGGTCACGATTCCTATACATTTTATTGATTTACATACAATAAACACGAAACAAAAAAACACATTGATTTTTAAACACGCAATTCAATGCGTGTACCGTGAGCTTAAAATTGATTAATCGATCCGCCAGAACATCCCAAACAAATACCACAACTGAAATCCTTGACGTTTTCCAGGGTGTGTCCACCCTAAAGTTCTGTGTTTCAATTCTGTATTCATTATGTCAATCCACTGCTGTGTAGAGGTGTAATTGTGCATGGCCACGGATGTTGAGGTGTAATTGTGCATGGCCACGGATGGCTAACAAACACAAGGGGCGGGGTTACGGCCGTACACAGGGGAGGTGCTCGCACCGACGTCCGCACCTGCATCCCCCACGGGCCCCTCCCGGGGGCCGAGTCCTATAAAAGGTGGTGAGCCGGAGGGCTCGAGGTCGGGGCTCAGCCTTAACCAGAGAAGAAGGAAGACCTGCTAGAATAGGCCCCAGAGCTCCCCTGGCTCGCTGTCCTTATAAGGGCCGACCAGGGCAAGCCGGTGGCGTGGCCCCGAGAGCCCAGACTGACAAGCCGATCTGGAGACTCAGGGTGCCGGGATCCCAGCTTGACCAGGGCTGGGATAGATAGCCTCCCCTAGCTCCGTAGTGGAGGACTTGGGCATAGGTTAGCGGGGTAAGCTGTTGTGTATCCCTGTAGCCAAGTGACCCGTAATTACTGTGTGTGCACAAGTTGGTGTAATAAACAAGTGTGCCTCCGATCCTGTCGTCAAGCCTCCTACATACTTACTACAGCTGGATGAGAGCCACTCCACGTCGTGGGGGTCATTTGCCCATATTTCACCATGCTGGTCAGTGCGGATTAGCAAAAGCGGGGAGCAAAGACATTGGAGTATAGTAACAGTGCTGTACACCCAAATGGCAATGCCCTTGTTTTAAATCCATTTATTTATGGAATTATGGCATCACAGTATATGTGTTGAAATTCTTTCGCACCGTACGTAGCACTGCACCACCTGTGTTATCACCAATGGAACGATCCATTATCTGTTTTTTTTATTATTCAGGCCGTTTGAAAGATTTATCAGGTGATCTGTAGCACACATATCAAAGATAAGCCCTGTACTATATCATCTCAAACTGTGATATGGTGTCATGGCTCAGAAAGGGTAAAGTCATTTCAGATTAGGATAGTCTTTTTTAACCATATCATTCATCCTCCACATTCCATCACATTTCTCATGAAAGCAGAAGGATGAAAGAAAGTGTGGCAATTGAGAATCATGCCCTTACTCAAATCGTCGGTAGATAGATTTTTGGACGTAAAACAAATGGGAATTGATCATTTTGTTCTTGTGCATAAAATTATACATTGGACTGCATAACAGCCTAACTGTGCTTGCATGGCTGTTTAGGTAAAATCCAGCTCCAGGTACAGCAATTATATTAGTTCTGCCAACTTCAAATTAAAATGCAAAGCAAAAAGCCAGCACCGCAGAGACCTTGGGCTTCTCTTGCCGAATTCATTAAAGTAGAAAAAAAACACACAGTCTCCTTGGTCTGAGAAGACTCTCACCCGGTGCAAGCCCATGTCTGAAAGGCAGCAACGAAGAAGGTTTACTTACTGTAAATGTTGTGGCTTCAACACACCGGTGGGCTAAAGCAGTGAACTATTTGTCTTTGTCAACGTGACACATTTTTACTGATTGGCCGTGTCGGGTGGTGGAGGGTTACGACACATTTATAAATAACGCGATCTAAACCCAAAAACGTTGATTATGAATAACATTGGTCGCGAAAGCCTGCTACGTGTTAAACTTACTGTGCCTGCATTAGCATTTGTAGACCCATGCGGAGAGTGAACGAGGCTTAATTCATGGGCACCTATCCAACGCCTGGCAGTTGTGATGGTTGTCATAATGTCTACTACACAAGCAAATGGACCATGCACAACACCCCAGTGGGTAAATTGGGCATCCATTGGTGTGGAAATGGCTCAAGATGGATTGACTAGGCAATGTGGATGGAGCCTTTGTGTTGTGTGGATGCGTTGTTTAGTCGTAATAACAAATGGGCCACAACTGTAGGCTGATATTGTTGGGCTGCAATTATAAACATTTCAAGCGCCACTGAAGCAGATCGTTCGTATGTGTGCCTTTCTGCAATGGTCAATTAGGTGTCCAACATGGCTGGTTAAGTTTGACCATTTCCTTTTAAGCGCTACAGCATGAACTTCTGCCTTCAGTGGAGAGTGACCTTGAAAGATAATCTCGAGGCAAGGACGCTTCGTGGAAACCCATGTCAACCTGGTGTTGGTGATGAGATACCTCTGTAGATCACTACATTTAATGGATCCTCAGAATTGTTTTTAAAGTGACCTTCTTTCAAGGACAAACCAGACGCAACTGAAATTTCACTTTAAAACAATAAAGACATTTTAAAAAAAGCTACAAAACAAATGCATTAACAAAACAGCGTGTATTTCTCATTTCTAATTAAGATTTGTTGATTGTGAAAATTGCTTCACAACCCAAAGACTTAACTTGAAAAGACAACAAAACAATGAAACCATACGCAGCCCGAATATTTCACTTAAAATTACAACAAATATAGCCAGGATGGAATTTTAAAATCTCCCAAACAGAAGTTTAACAAAACATAATTAACCTAAATCACTAATTAACATCTGTGTGCTGTGAAACATATAAATAACAATGATTCTGTGAACAGACGACAATTATCGAAGCTGATTTGAAGTTTTCGTGTTTTTCTCTGTCTGTGTTATCTCTCTCTGCTTGTGTGTCTGTCTGTGTTTTGTCTCTCTCTCAAATTTAGTTCTACTTGATGACGGTTGCTTGTGTTGCAATCGAAACGTCGTATTCTACTACTTAATTTATTTTCTTTCTACGTGACTTTACCGAAAGAACCAAAGAGTAATTATCGAGGTGTTTTCTTTCTTTCTTTCTCTCCACACCTCACCGAATCTGAGCTGGACTAACTCTTTGAGCCCTAGGGAGGTGATTTCTGGCCACCGGCCCAGCACCATAACCCGGCAAAGGGCTGCCCGCCGCTACCGTGGTATTAAATTAATTGCGTGTCCACGTTTCCACTGCGCCGTGCCACCATCGTGTACTTGAAGCAATTAGTATAAATTCAACAGCATTGCAAATGCAGTATTCATGTCACACCGCATCTGCCGGTGATTTACAAATTTCGCAGTGGCACGCTGTCACATCCAGACATTGTGAGAAGAGAGACGGAGGGTCTGTTTGTGAGGCAGGGAAGGATGCACACACACAATGTATCCGGATGAAGATGACACACAGTGGCACAGCAAACAAGCTTTGTATATCTGTACAGCCCTTTGTCAATCCACTGCAGGATGAGGGCCTCCCCACACCTTAAACAACAGTCTATTCTAATTTATTAAAATAAATGTTTGCATTAAACAGGATAGCAGTCAGCAAGCAGGACACAGATATCTGTGCCCAGGTCACCTATTTCTATGCCATTGTCTTGAGATGTGGTTTAAGTTTGACGTTTATATAAAATTGCATTTAATAGTTAGTTCTGCAATGATGTTATGGGTTAAGCATTATTACTATAGCTCCACTGCTTGTATTGAAATTGTATCCTCACTAAGTTGGGCAGCATGCCTGAGCTATGTTGAAACCCCAAGGGCCCTTCTATAATAATGTTAATTTGTATCGCGCACAATTTTCACTTGACCGAAGGCAGCGACCCTGAGGTGCAGAGCCCAGCTCAGAGATCCGCTCAGTAAAAGTCAAAAATAGAAATATTTTTTTCAAGAAGGCGCTTAAAGGTAAGTAAAAGAGTCAGCGCTGCGAATGTGAAGGAGGAGGGCGTTCCAGGTTGAGGGGTCACTCCGTGTCCTGTTGTAGTACAGAGTTAGACTGATAACTTTGATCAGAATTATGGTTGTTTTTGTTTGACTTGCATCCCACTGGGATTTTTGCACACAGCATTGATATACGGTGCTTTTTCTGGAGGACTTTGCTGTTTTTTCCCTGTATTTTTCTGTTGCACGTAGTCACTTTAAGATTTTTCGATTTTAAGCATCCGTGACTGCAGGGATTCATATTCTTGGTTCTTTCGGTAAAGTCACGTAGAAGGAAAGTAATAAAATTATATTTTTATTGTTTTGTTTTTATTATTTTATTTCCCTTATACGTGACTTTACCGAAAGAACCAAGAATATCACTTTAAGATGTTTCTTGTTCATGTTTATGTTTGTTGCGGTTGCACCCGATTCAAGAGCCGAATGGCTCACAGGGCTATACCAAATAAATGAAATTGAACTGTAACTGCAGCACTGGTGACTTATAGTGTGACACAAAGATTTGCTTTTCTGTCCTTCACGCAATTGAGGGCACATTATCAATCCCCACCGCAAGCGCCGAGACAGTGCGTCACGCAGGGCCATCTGGGTCACATAGGAAGTCACTGACAATTCGATTTTTGGGTAAAAATTACATCCCCTCATCATGTAGTTTGTATTTTATATAACTGCTACCTATAGTAGGATGTCTTAATCGATAACTTTTATTTAATTAAGTCCTCCTGAAGATTTTTCTGTCTACACCTTTATTAGGTCACTAAATCGTTATCACGTGACCGCTCTGCAGCGATTTGCACACATTAAACTCATTCGATTCATGAAATTACATTATATTACTATAACTACAGAATATAAAATGTTACAATGGGATTTTTTGCGAGGTGTTTAATAGAGAGGTGCAGCAAACGATGATCGCATACTTGAATTCATAGACATAACAACTTTTAAAAAAATCAATCACACATACCAGTAACCGTGCTTAAATTCCCAATAGTTCATGAATAACAGAACATAAACGGAATTTTATGCATGGCTACTCACATTCAAGAAAAGCACTGAGATCGAATGGCTGTGCAATAATGATAAACAATCCATGCAGCACACAATGCAACTGAAACTCCCAGAATAGAAGCTGTAAAGGGCTGGGGAAACAGTGAAGTCATCATCAAGTTATTTTGATGTGCACTCTTAGCCCCACAACATAGCAATTATGGGGAATGGAAATGGAAACTTAATACGAAGACAGCCACGGAGAATAAACTGCAAAGCAGTGGGAATTGTGTAGCAAATCACTCTCGTTCTCTTGTAATTGAGCTATTCTCATTAGCAGTGCGGTAATTGTACATTTTTTTTAGGGAGGAAATTATCTCTCCACAGAATAGAAGGTTTGGTCTTAATTAAGGAGGTTGCGTTCTATAATAGGCAAGGGATTCATTAAAAAAGAGATAGTGTTAGTTGCTCACACACGAGGTGCTACAACGTTATGGGATGCTCACAGGAAAAATTTCCACGGAATTCTGTAAAAACTAAAATCAATAAATGTGTAACCAAATCGATAGGTAAACATCACAAAGAGACAGCGCAATTTCTCAAGAGGGCTCTCCCTCTGATCCTCACTCCTAATTCCCAACAACGATCCTATAACTCGCACCCATTGTTCCCACACCGCAGCAAATGACCGCAGTCATGAAAGGCGACCCTTCATTTAGGGTACAATTTCAGTGGTGGGAAATTGAGGCTGCTCACCAACCAGTGTGTTGTGCTGTAATGTAAACCGATTGCTTCACATAGAGATACCATTACAGAGGTGCAGGGATGAAATAGTTTAAGGATCTTCTTCATAACGACCTGGCCCACTAATGATAGCTCAACGAAGTGGCTTATTATGTGGAAATCTATAGCAGCCAAATACTCTCAACGTATGCTTCTAAATGTGGAGGGAAACCAGGAGGACCCGGAGGAATATACAGACGTCAGGATCGCAATCGAACCCACAATCGCCTGCATACCAGGCGAGGGAATTAACATCTCACCACCGCAACTCAAAACTCCTAGGGTGGCAACCAGAATCAATTCCCCTCAGCTCTGCGTAGGTTCTGATTTCCTTGCGATGCTTATGAGTGACTTGAATGGAAATATTGCATTTCCGAGATGCCCATGTATGAAAAAACCCTTCTCAGTGTGAATGCGAACACATTGGATGCTTCTGTTTTGTTTTTTACTCGTGAAATAATTACACTTCACAATGAAATGCAGCACAAATAGAATAATGCAGTAATCAACCATAAAACTCAACACATTCGTTAATCACACTGCCTCAAAGGAAATATAAATAGCAGGCGACGTTTTGGGCAATGCCCCTTTGTTTGCATTGTGCATTTTATGTGCATACAATTAATAAAGAGGGCTCTCTCTGATCTCCACTCCTATTTCCATACAACAATCCTGGAAATCTAATCTATTCAATGTATGTACATTAATATGAAAACCCATTGCCTGGATTGTCGCCGATTGTATACATTTTCTGTTAATGCCACAGAGTTATTGGCGAATGTGTTGACATTTTTGATAATTATGCCTGTGCACCGCTGGCAACGCAGCGGCATCACCAGATATAATTTGAGCATAATCAACCACGACTGTCCAGTGCATCATGAAGTTGGTGGGTGGGGGGAAATACATTTTCCTGCTTCAGCAACCATGTCCCATACACACACATTGTACATACGTATGTTGAGCTTCTTTCACACCGTACATATCCAACCGTGATAATCGGAGGTGCGGGGGAAGGACAACAAAATGAAAGACAAAAAGCAGTTATAAAAAAATGAGTTTTCAATGTAGATGATTTTAAAGTGCGTAGCTCCAGTAGCTTCCTAATATCGGAAGAGCGTTCCAGACGGCCGCAGAAGGACATCTGAAAGTGCGCGATACAGTGACCGTCTTTGTTCGATCGCTAGCCAAAAGCCACTGTGAGGATGAGCGGAGTTGACGTGATGGTTTATGCTCCTTCACGAGAACATTGATTGTATAAAATAATAAAATACAGGAATTCATGCTGAGAGGAAACTACACGCTCAACATTTTGCCTTCCGTATACCCCACAAACCACCAGATGTAAAAAAAATATGCCTACTGTATACGACACGATATACGTGTGGTTAATTTTAAATCAATATTTCCGTAAATGATAGAAGGTTACAGTCAAGGGTTATATATTGTGTTAGTATATTCCTAATAGCAGCACCAGCACTGGGTGGCTTCGGGCAAATAAACATCCCGCTGTCGTACAAAGGCATTTTAATAAGTGAAGAGACTTCCAATGATTCTGCAACCTATGCAATAAATCTGGAATGATTCACCCCCCCCTCGGCACTGCAATTGTTTCACACGTTCAGGAAATGTCTCCGATTACATTGTGGTGAATGTAAATGTCCACAGTGTATGCAGGGGCAATGTGAACTCATTGACACCATATACCATTTATTTTTTTAAACATCGATTCTAACATACGTGATCCTATTCATTTTCATGCAAAAAAGTATCGTGAGGAAATCCGAAGTCACACAGAGCAGAGGGAAAATTATTCTGGGTTCCATCCTTGGGGTTTTGAGTCGGCGCACGGCTGATGTCGAAAGGGAGTCAGAGAGAGAGAGAGATTCCTCTGGCATCATTGGAAATCCCCCGGGCAACATCCTGCTTTTAGGAAACTATCTCATTACTTCTATAATGGTGTTAATTCCCTTCGCCTGGTATGTAGGAGGTTGTGGCTTCAATTGCGACCCTGACGTCTGTATATTCCTCCGGGTCCTCCTGGTTTCCCCCCCACATTCATAAGCAGACGTTGAGAGTATGTGGCTGCTAAAAATTTCCACATGATAAGCTACTTCGTAGAGCTATCATTTGTGGTCAGGTCGCTTCCGAAGAAGAGCCTTACCTGGTAAAATAAAAAATAGCGTATAGCTTAATTTAGAGTCGGCGTAGGCTGATGTCGAACGACACCCCCCTGCTACAGCTCGTGTTGAGGAAACTATATCATTTCTGCACCTCTGTAATGGTATCTGTATGTGAAGCAATCGGTTTACATTACAGCACAACACACTGGTTTGTGAGCAGACTCAATTTCCCACCACTGAAATTGTCCCCAAACTAATGGGTCGCCTTTCACGACTGGGGTCATTTGCTGTGGTGTGGGAACAATGGGTGCGAGTTACAGGATCGTTGTTGGGAATTAGGGAAGAACATTGTGAGGAATTGTGCTGTCTCTTTGTCAAGGTTACCTATTGATTTGGTGACACATTTACGTGACTTTTTACAGAATTCTGCCAAAGAATAAATAGTAATCATCATTGTATTAATCCATTGGTACATCCCAAAATACCTATAATAAACAGCTCTTTTGCACCTTGCTTTAAACATCTGGATTTCAAACATTTTTGGACAGAGGTCCCTTGACAGCCACTTTCAGAATATCAGGATGCCTCCACAGTCTTCATGAATGCCGAGTCCTTTTAGAGACCTACGTATGCACTAGTGAATGTATGAAGCCATCCGCCGGCACTCGCCATCGGAAATCTTAACTAATTCCAATCCAACAGGATGGCTTTGGAGGGCCGCTCACTTGCGGGCGAGGATGGCGTTGTACAGCTCCTCACTTACGAGCTAAGATGGCATTGTAGAGCTCCTCACTTGCGTGCTAGGATGGCATTGTAGAGCTCCTCACTTGCGTGCTAGGATGGCATTGTAGAGCTCCTCACTTGCGTGCTAGGATGGCGTTGTACAGCTCCTCACTTGCGTGCTAAGATGGCATTGTAGAGCTCCTCACTTGCGTGCTAAGATGGCATTGTAGAGCTCCTCACTTACGAGCTAAGATGGCATTGTAGAGCTCCTCACCTTGCGTGCTAAGATGGCATTGTATAGCTCCTCACTTGCGTGCTAGGATGGCGTTGTACAGCTCCTCACTTGCGTGCTAGGATGGCATTGTAGAGCTCCTCACTTGCGTGCTAAGATGGCATTGTAGAGCTCCTCATTTGCGTGCTAAGATGGCATTGTAGAGCTCCTCACTTGCGTGCTAAGATGGCATTGTAGAGCTCCTCACTTGCGTGCTAAGATGGCATTGTAGAGCTCCTCACTTGCGTGCTAAGATGGCATTGTAGAGCTCCTCACTTGTGTGCTAAGATGGGATTGTAGAGCTCCTCACTTGCGTGCTAAGATGGCATTGTAGAGCTCCTCACTTGCGCGCTAGGATGGCATTGTAGAGCTCCTCACTTGTGAGCTAAGATGGCATTGTAGAGCTCCTCACTTGCGCGCTAGGATGGCATTGTAGAGCTCCTCACTTGCGGGCTAGGATGGGGTTGTGAAGCTCTTCACTTGCGCCCTAGGATGGCATTGTAGAGCTTGCCCGTGTTGGCCACACGGACATCGCGGAAGCCAACTTCGGTGAGCATGGCCGTGTACTCGGAGGCGAAGCGTTCGCGGCCCTCGGTCTGCACCAGCATGTTGAGCGAGTAGAGTTGCACCGAGATGGGGCCGCGCCGGTCCTCCGCCAGCAGGCACTCCACCACGAGCAAACCACCTCCTGCGGGTAACACGCGGTGCCACACCACCGCCGCACGTTTGTGTCAGATGCAGTTTGTTTGTTCGTTCCAGATGCAGTTCTGTCAAGTTCGATGTGTTTAGCAATGTGAGAACTCAACAGGCCAGGATAGTCTAATTTTCAAGAGATGTGGGGTATTGTTCTGTAAGTAGATGGATTGTTTTATATATTACCAATTTATTTGCGGATAATTTTCGAATTTGGCAAATTTAGGCTGTGACGCTGGTGTACGTTGGCATACTCTCGTGAATGACGTCAGGGGATCTGTAGTGGCCATTGTGAAGCAAACACCTCCGAGTAGCACGGCTGGCTGCGTACGGTGCGAAAGAAGTTTAACATAATACATTATCATGGTCATTACACTTACAGCAATAATCAGGGCAGCTGATAGATTCGAACCATGTACCTCTGCAACAAATGGCAACACGCACCACTCCTAGGCCATCACCCCTAATGACATTTGTGTTCATATGTGTCGGGGACTGAGAGTTGTGTGGGAGCATTGAGCCTGCAAAAACATTGATTTTCCTGAAGATTTGTTCGGCACCTACTCCTCTGTACAGCAGAATTAGACTCAGAGGTTAAAGATAAGGCGCTACATTGGTTAGGACCAAGTTTCGGTCAAACAAATGAAATTACTTTGGAAAGTGGTTTTTTTATTAAGGTTTTCTTTGAAAATGAATGGATATTATAGACTTGTATGCAATAAAGACATGCTACTTGTACGTAACAAACACTTTCGTTACAAAAACATAGGGGGGGGGGGGTGTAAATAAATGAAAGGAGAGCCAATATCCTGAAATATTGTTGTTGACAGGAAAATAATATTTGAAAGAAACATGTATTCTCTGACCCCGGCGCGAGCAGTTCCAAACCACCATGCACTCCTTTCTCAGGCAGCTCGATGATGATATTAACATGTGCATGTGCCAATGTATGTATGTTGAGCTTCTGTTGCACCGTGCATAGCCAATCATCCTAATCGTCATCAGTGGGATGACGATCTTGTAGGAGTGTTGAGCCCGCAGGGTGTGTAAGGGGTGGCAGCTTTTGCCACAAACTTGCCACGGTGAGGAATCAAGCAATATAAATAAAATTCCACTCAAAGTTGCTGTGCATGGGGCTAATTTTAACGGTAAAATTACGTGTATTTTACTAACGCATTATGGGTACTCTTAAGATTAGATCTTGTGTGCACTGACAATGCCACCTACCATAGTTGAAGTTATCTGAGGATGGGTAAACAAGTGTACATTGTAATCTGAGCCAGGAATTGGAACTCGTTATCTTCACGTCTGAGTCTAGGGGCCTCATGTTCAAACCCATAGACTCATACCTGTCAACCCCTTATCAGTGCATACCTTTTTACAGACCAATTCAGACCTTATTGGTCACCCGTAACCTTATACACCTCAACGTTCATTCTACAAAGTTCCATCACAAGGGACAGACACAAATAGACAAAACAATGTATTTGCCCGTATTGAAACGGCTGTACCCCGTATGGACCTGAAAACGACATTTCCCTGATAATTGGTTTTTTACCCTTCTATCTGGCAACAAAACTGACACCTTTTTTTTACAAGGAGTCACGTTTGCATAGACCACAATACCTGCAGTCATAATGCAAACAAAAAACATAACTCTGATAATGTGCAATAAAAAAGGTGTCAGTTTTGTTGCCAGATAGAAGGGTAAAAAACTAATTATCATATTTTTTACTGGCAAATGAGGTTCCAATGGTACATTTCCCTGTACAAGAATACGGGTAAACCGTATGTAGACTACCTCCGAATAGTACGGTTGGTTACGTATCGTGCGAAATAAGCTCAATATACATAGTACAACAACAACGTCATGCACATTGTTCAAATTGTATTCCCAAGCCCACCGCCTGGCCCCTGGCTCCTCGCCGTTCTGCCATCAACACAGGGCAAGTTAGCCGCAAAGGTTGCCGAGGCATCGGCTCCTAAGTGGAGTCAGTTGGTGGTCTCAGCCAAGTCATCAATCCCTGTACAACAACCCTCCATTAATGATTTTCTCTTGACTTAATTGCCCCAGCTCAGTAGGGGCCCTAAGTGGGCGTGGGGTGGTTGCTAAAGGACATCTCCCATGACGGGACGAAGTGTAGCGCCCTCTCGTGTCTTGGGAAGACAGCTCCATTGGGGAGACCGCGAGTGAAAATCAACATCATCATCAACATTTTTTTGGTTCTTTTGGTAAAGTCATAAAAAAAAATACAAAACCAAAAAACCAGACTGGAGCCTGGTTCTTAATCGGAGATGAGTGTACTGGCAATCTATATTGTAGACTGTAGCCTGGTTATTAAGTTGGGTGAGTGTACGGGTAGTCTATAATGTAGACTGTAGCCTGGTTATTAAGTTTGGTGAGTGTACTGGTAGTCTATAATGTAGACTGTAGCAATGGTTATTAAGTATGTCAACAGCATGGACGGGGCAGCTAATGTCAATGTAGGAGAAAGACAAGCAACGACACCAATCATCATTAACCTCTGGGATTGTTCCCTGCGGAAGATACCAACCCTGCTGTCACGAGCAGAGAGTCAGGAATGGATGACATTTTCACGTGACCTGGCTTCAGTAGTGCAATTGAGATGTTCTGTTCTTGCGTATGGCAAGAACCTTGACAAATTGGCATCTACTGATCATATTTGGATTCGATTTAACGGCATTCAATTCAGCTTGATAATGGTATAAGTTGTTGTGTTTAAGGTAACACGAAAACACGTGTAACAGGTGGGCAGTGAGACCACGACCTTCTCTCAACCTGGGATGTCATTGAAAGAGCCTTAGAGGGGGCAGGCGTGGTGGAAAAATGAGATTGAAACAGTTTCGACCCTCAGAAAAGGTCGAGGCGATCTCATAGGGGGCCTCATCTGGCATTTCCCCCGAGGCTTCCAAAAACAAGTCGGTGGCTCTGATATTTGAAACAGAAAAGGTCAAAGCCTCTGTATGCATTCTTCGAGGAGCATGCACTCGTCGAGAAAATGTCAAGTACAGTAGACATTTGTTGATTATTAATTTGAGACTCACAGCGATGAGCACACATGTTTCAGGACAATACCTTATTTCAGTATGAGCGGACCCCAACATGAGTGGGACAAACGCGTGGAAGAAGAAGAAGACCTTATGTCAGTATGAGACATGGCTTGTGGTGATTCTAAAAACACGATGTTCCCAGATTCGTTGTGATCTTCCAAGCAATATGAAAGTTAACAGGTCAGTATATATAAATATCACCTAAATCATTGAGAACTATTCATCTGGATAATTACTCACAACCACTGGCATTCGAACTCAACAGGATAAAATGCGATTGTACTGCCCTGGAAACACGGACTGGAGTTATTACCTGGCTGGCAGCTGGAGTAGATGCTGCCCAGCAGCTGCATGCACTGCTCCTTGGACCAGTCGTGTAGGATCCGTGCCAGGATGTACAGGTCGCCCTGCGGGATCTCATCTTTGAAAAAATCGCCTGGAGAAAAAAAAGAGAAAATTACCCAATGTTCTCACACGACAGGCACATCCCGAAACCCGGTCATCATGTAGCGATTTGTTCTCGTTGCACCTATATTCACTGATTTAAAACGTTCTTCTTGAGGCAGATTGGTGTGTCGCTATTCATCAAAAGCATTCCAACATCCTATCGTCCCCCTCTTTAATCCATCATTTTTGTCCCCTGTCAACCTTCACTCATTATCACAATTCTTAGACGTGACTTCTATTTTTCTCCTATTTAATTTGAACCTATATTCATTGTCAGTGGTTATGAGTAATTATCCAGAGGAAAAGCTTAAGTTGTTGTCAAATTATATTATCGACTGTTAGTCCATCCGAGTGGCTGTTATAATGACTATTTCATCATCAATTCTGAGATACCATTGGAACCTCATTTGCCAGTAAAAAATATAATAATTGGTTTTTTACCCTTTTATCTGGCAACAAAACTGACACCTTTTTACAAGGGTGTAAATGCTTATGGTGTAAATGCTTACCCCGAGCTCTCATACTCTCATGGTGCATTGTCTTTGAGTTGTGCGCCTTTTGGCGACATGTGGTCTAACACCATGTGAGACTAGGCTCTAAGAAAAGCTGTCTCGGGTGTGGACCAATCAACTTTAAAGACAGTGCATACATTATCAGAGTTATGTTTTTTGTTTGCATTATGACTGCAGGTATTGTGGTCTATGCAAACATGACTCCTTGTAAAAAAGGTGTCAGTTTTGTTGCCAGATAAAAGGGTAAAAAAGCAATTATCAATTCTAAGATAGTTAATATTTTCTCCATGTATATTATGGCTTGGTTTCTGCAATCCAATTTTTAGAATACTTCTTATGTCGCTGTATATCATTTTGTCTAACTCCCCTTCTAATATGTGCATTGTTACTTCACGCACTCTCGTATTTGCTGTTATATATTTGTGTGCGGTTGTTTATAAAATTGTTTTCCTTTATACCTTGGTTTGTGAGAGCTTGGATGACGTCAGTATGGTAGTTTCTCCTGCGTCAAATACCTTCACAGAGTCTAAAACGCGGCGGCAACGGTTTTCAAGAATCTGATCGATCGCGTGGTTGATGCTAGAGAAACATTTCCTAAACCTAGCTTGCTCACGCAGTTAGTTTATTCCGTTTCCAACGATAATTGTGAACAATTTATATAAGTGCAGTACGTGCAACAAGTGGCACAAGCGGACTGCAACCTTCCAGGCAGTTTGGGTTTCCACGACGGCTCACGAGGACCCACCTCCTTGCAGCTGCACGGTGCCGGAGGCGAGGAAGTGTTTCCGCGACACCTCCACGACGGGCGGGAGGTCGAAGACGGTGACCCGTGAGTCGGGGTGAATCTCGGCGAGCTGCAGCGCCAGGGCCCCCGTGCACCCTGGTCCGTGATAGCACGGCCCAGCGCCGTTAGAGGGTAAAGGACACGCGGGCTCGGCTACCATCATGTCCTTTAACAAGCTGAGAGTCCATTGATATTCGTTGTAATGAAGGCCACTGTTTGGTCGTACCCACTTCCCATTCCACCCTCACCTTTCTCCCCCTGGGTGAGGCAGTAGAGTACTGAGTGATACTGCTGCTAAACCCCAATATTTTTTTTTCCATGATCCCCTCCAATATATACCTACTGGACATCTGTGAAAAAGAGCTTCATAGCTCATGGGATTCCTCCAGTCTAAATAAAGATTGTGATAACATATTCTGATATATTACCTTGATTCAGTTTTTTTTGCTTTTCACCTGTTGCTGATCTGGCCCCATGCCATCACCATTCCACGCATACATCACGCTAGAACCTGCACATGAGCTGCTCTCATCACTCCATCAGTATCATTCAAAGCATGCACCTCTCCATGCTTCTTTGTTCACTCTTCAGCTTGTGTTTAAATGTCCCTGTCAGTGTCCGTGTTTCTGATTCGTATGCCATAGCAGGTAATATACACCGATGGAAAACTTTTTTTAAAGAAAACATTTGTATGTCGCTTGTCACTTTTAATTTAGGTTGATAGAAAGAGAAACACGTTGATTAGATATTATATTCAAGTTAGAGGCATCGTATTGACTGCTTAATAAGAGTAAAGTGTACTTGAGCAGGACTCATCATTTGCCTCATCCTTCTCCACCCTGCACTCGTGACCCACTCATTGCAGCCTCCTCTTTCTGATCACATCTGCCATCACTTTCCTGCCACACGTCCATTCCCAACCTCCAAGTTGCTACGAGCCAATGTTCCAGGTGGCCTCTGCATGCACCTACAAGGGGAACTCAAACTCATTATGGATGCCCAGCTGGTGAGCAAAACCCAGGAGTAGGTGCAGATATAACATGCAATGTCCCCACTAATTAACCCCACCATTGCACAATTCCAACAACCCTGTCTCCAAATGATCAACTAACTTACAAGCCTGTTTGGTAATGCCCAACGGAAGGTTAATGGTTTACTAATAATGCAAGAGGTGAGATTGCAGTGCGGCCCCGAGTCACCTCCAAGGTCGTACACATCTTTGAAAGGTGAGAGGTCAAAAGCAGTGAGGACCGCGTGGCCGTTAACGGCCCAGATGCCTGTTCATTAACTTCATGAACTTCATCATCTCATCGTCCGACCTGCGCGGTAGAGAAAGGGTTAAACGTTTCTTGTGATGCTGTCATGATATTAAAGGTCACAAGGCTGTGCTGCCAAATGGATGTTGAGAAATTCTGCAGTGTGCTGCTAATGCACTCACCTGTACATTGCCCCAAACAGGTCAGCGTTAGAGACCCCAAAGGTTTTCTCATACTGATTTTGTCCCTCTCTGAAAATGCATTCACAATCAATGCCATAATTAATTAGCATCATCATTAGGCATGTACTTATTAATCTCCCAAGCATTTAATACATTTCATGATTCAGGGTCATAATTCCATTGAAAAACTAAGGTTTTTGAAAAATATTATTTTTAATGTATTTTAATTACTGCACTTTACTGAATATACCATTTGCGTATGATATATATTCTTGATAAATCATTTAATTTAAAGTCCACGATTCGATCCTCACATCATGACCGTACACATCGACTGTAATTGGCGATTCATCACAAGACTAATCACCATCATTATTGTCATCCGAAATGTTTCGCATTGCGTGTAAAGACTTCATCACGCAGATATGTCTCCCAACTCATTGCTAAAGTAAAAAGAGTTTTTGTTAAATGGCAGAAACATATTATTGTAATAAAATTATTCGCTGACACTGCATTAGCAGTGGTGCCCAAGCACAATTAACAAACAAAAAACGAAGTAAGAAGAAGTTGTTTTGACGGAGTCAGTTTCGCCGCGTTTGCACACTCTGCATGAATCTGTGCACTCGTGCCCATAGCGGAGCTCACAAGACTGCAGCGGGGAGGTGCTGCCACAGCGGGTAGATGGTGGCCGAGTTGTAGATGATGATGTCGTGCATCGACTTGGGACTGTGACGACACAGGAAGACACTCGCCTGCTCCGTGTTGCTGTACACGACTGCAACGGATACACACCACACACACACGTGTGCACATGGGTTACGGTTGTCACCTCCGAGGTACAAATGACTGGGACATGTCATGTGAAGAAGAATTTTCACAATACCCATGATGAAAACCTTGACTTTTGATGTTTTAATGTGCCGGGAAGGACATACAGATTTTCTGGGACAGCTACCTCAAAAAGAGGACAGCAGCAGCATGGGGATGTCAATGAGGAAACTCACAGATACTGCGAGGCCAGTGATTCATTTTCTCATTGAATATTTTCCAGATTGCCTATAGACTGGATCAATGAGAGATACACGATACTGAATATGGTGTAGCAGGTGTGGAACAGACCCGGCCGAAATGAAGTACTCAATTGGGATTAGACAAAACAATCATTCGTTCCTTCACTGGCAAGGCTAATGCCGACTTGCAGGCCGGTGCTGAGTCACTTAGTGCTGATTAGCACAGTTGGGTACGTATGGTGCGAAAGAAGTTCAACATACATATATTGTGCCACACAGGGACAACTGCCGCCCGGCACTCACACGTCTGAGATGAAATGCCATGGAAGGCGCATTTGAGTTGGCAAGCACCATGTAAATGCAAAAAAAACCGTTCAAAGTTTAGATGAATCCATCATTTGTGTGCCGAAGGAACGCCACTTGCATTGGTCTCCGCGGACGCTGATGTTCAACAGCCCCATGCCGACGCAGGCGTCCAGCAGCCGGCCCAGACCATCCACGCTGGTGGGGCCGGCGCCGTCCAATGCTCCGGCCACCGCCTCCGCCGTGGCTCCCGTTCGGCCCTCGGGGCTCTCCAAGAAGTCGAAGATGCCCAGCTCGCACGCCGTGAACATTGCCTAGGCAATTGTCATGCAGACAGGGAGAAACCCAGACGAGTTTATCCGCTTTTTTCGTAGGAGGCTTTTTTCTTTTGGAGAGACGTATAAAGCATTTTTGTATCAAATAAACATAACTTATTTTTATACTCTTTTTTTTTCGAACTTATTTTTCTTTACAAAAACGTGTTTTAGAAGCCAGTGCGTGGCATTTGTCCAATTACATGACATAACCCAATGACATTGAGGTGTTAAGAGAAAAGAGTTGAAGGTGGTGTGATCGATTATTATTGATATGTCAGTACAAGACTTGCCATGCTTTACCTTTGACTTTCTGAAGCCTTCGATGTACTCCAAGATCTGGGATGGGAAGTCCAGGTCTGTGCTTGGTGCTACCTTTGCAGAGTCCCTGATTGTTCATTCTCTCGTTCGTTCTGAGCTGCAGGCAAGAGTGTCAGAGCACGTGGGAAGCATTGTGAATACGACTGATGGGGGAACCAGAACACGGCTGAGACTTATACTGGCGTCCAAGCCGAAAAACACGTGGTATTGAGCGTCAGGGTCACAGAGAATCGAGGTGCCATGTGACAAACAAGTTAGGCAGCTCATTTGGACACAAACAACCCAACATTAGGGCAAAGGTCCATCTCAGTGGTGGAATATTTCTGTTTTGTTCTCCATGACGTTTTAACCTCAAATCGTAGAGTGATGCACATGTGTTTTTTCTCTCGCATGGCAGTCTTAATGCTTGCAGCGGTCACATGGTCATGGTATCTGCTTGTATCAAACTATTACAGCTTTTGCTTAAGTTTTGTTTAGACATATTTCATCATGTTTATATTTCATGCATTCATATATGTGGAGGTCAAGGGGGAGAAACATTCAACTACACAGGTTTTCGAGGTTGTGCTCTATGGCCCTCCGAATTGCATTTGGATTGTGCACATTGTCCGACGTTTCACTCCATGTTTATTCAGGAACCAATATTAATTCAATTCCCGAAGAAGCTCCCAACAAGTCGAGCAAAGTGTCAGACATCGTGCCAACCAACACGCGGTACAACCTAAAAACATCGCAGAGCTGAAGGGCAAAATGTACAGATTTACTGGAGCCGGCACCGCTGCTCTTTATCTCTCAACATTGCCAGGAGGCGCCAGATGGAATGAATGAGGCGCACGCTGTGATTTTCACACTCGGAGGGACATCCATGACCACCACAACTCAAATGCGTGTGAGGTTCAGAGCCGCTGGCCATTTTATTTCTGCACGCTTGCTTTTTCACGTAATGACTCTTTTTTTATCCCAATAATTCCACTCCTATAACAAAGGCAGAGAGAGCACATCCCATAGGATAGCGACGCCACCGCACGCGGTCAATTTTCCCGAGGTTGTGAACGCGGGCCATAGTCACGGCATTTGGTCAGCGGAGACGATCAGGACAACTAACGAGTCATCATAACAATAATTTTACCCAGAAAATAACGAGTCGTCAGCCCCGCTTTCAGGAGCCTCCTGCGTTGGGACGTTTGGTCGATTCAATGCATGAGCGTTATGTGTGTGGGTGGGAATCCTGGATTATACGGAGAAAACCCACGGATTCGAGGTAGTAACATTCAACACTGCCATCTGCTGGGCACCTTGCAGACCCATTTCCTACGGCACCCTGACAAGCCCTGGTAGGTCACTCATGCAAAGTATTAATCAGGGTCAAAACTGCTCGGACTGTCGAGATCCGACGAGATGGGGCCCATTCGGAGTTTTATTGTTGCAGTCACAAAGTACAAAGGTGATAACATATTTAGATCTACGTGACAGAATAGTTTTTACATTCGCCTAGCAAATCTGGATGCTGCCATGGTGAACGGATTTGCACACTGGATTCGTGAAGCAAAGGTCGTCAGGTCAGATCAATCCTCTCCCGCCCGCCCGCCCGCCCGCCTTCAGTGCAGCAGCAATAATAGGGCAAAGTTTATTAAATTCCTCGCCTCTGTCCACACAGCAGTGTAAAATGAGTGCACACAGTTAACTGATGGGTAGGTCGCGTGTGATGGTGCAAAGCGTAGGTAATCATACTTCTTCCAATAAGTCTGGTCAGTGTGGAAGAGTGAGGAGACCAAATAACCACGGAAAGAGGTTCTTGTGAGCTCCCTCTAGGATGCCCTTCCCCCAGCAGTGCCGGGAGCAATGAACCGCCGGGCTGCACCGTTACTTTTACAGAAGAGCTGCTGCTGCTGCTACGTGGGAATTCGCCAACAACAAAAAAACAACCCACAATGGGCTTCAGTTCTGGCTCCATGGGTTCCCTTTGTCAATTGGGGCCTCGGATTAAAGTCCGTGCAGGCAGCAAACCCCACACTTCCTCGTGACAAAGATTTCCAGATTACTTGCGCTATTATGGTCAGTTATGTCAGTCCCCAGCAGCGATAGAGTTCACAAAATGCATTTTTATGTTGGCTCAGTGTACGCTGGTCTGGGAGCACGATGGGTGCAGCGATGCATGGATTAACATCGACATTTGAGGATCACAATACAGTACATGGATTGATTGAATTCTGTCTGCAAGAATCAACATTCTTCGATTATACGAATTAAATGCTGTAAAGTTCAGGATAACCCAGTGAAGAAAACTACACAATGGGACTTAATAAGCAACATTAATCAAATGGTACCAATGCAAAAGAAGAATGGTTACTGAATAGAATCCTGGCCCTCAATCACGTCAATTCATTGCATTGCAAGGGAGTGGAAAACAATTACACTCATTCATATTGCACGAGCATCAGTGCGCACATGTTGTTAGCGATGAAGAGTCAGGCTTCATAAATGAACCAAACCCAAAGGTACACGAGTGCAACTTCGTTATAATTCTCAAAGCCTTCACATATACCCTCCCCTTGTTAACGTTAAGGGTCCGGCATAAGTGCGCTTTAACACGTAGCAGGCTTTCGCGACCAAAATGATTCATAATCAACGTTTTTGGGTTTAGATCGCGTTATTTATAAATGTGTCGTAACCCTCCACCACCCGACACGGCCAATCAGTAAAAAAGTGTCACGTTGACAAAAGACAAATAGTTCACTGCTTTAGCCCACCGGTGTGTTGAAGCGTGAAACCACAACAATTCGCCAGAATGGTGAATTGCTCGATGATGCTGGATGCAATTACCAGCGAAACGTCGTACTCAAATTGTAAATGTTGTGGTTTCACGCTTCAACACACCGGTGGGCTAAAGCAGTGAACTATTTGTCTTTTGTCAACGTGACACTTTTTTACTGATTGGCCGTGTCGGGTGGTGGAGGGTTACGACACATTTATAAATAACGCGATCTAAACCCAAAAACGTTGATTATGAATAAGTGCGCTTGCGAGGATTGCATTTCCATGTCTCTGCCTCCTCCCCTCGCTACTCGTGGTTCCCAAAAATAAAGTTGAAACGGCTTTGTGTCGATGGTGCTGTTGACTCTAAAGTCAGGATTGCAGAGGTGAACAACACAAAAAACCCCTACCAGGCATGGAGTCCAGCCCTGGTGGTCACCCATCCAAATATTAAACAATGCGTCAGAAAATAAATACGTTACTTCATAATAATAATGAAGGGTTGAAAACGTACGGATGCGTTTTTGTGCAGAACAGCGATATACGGTAAATCCTCGTTTAACGCGGTAGATGCGTTCCTGAAAAGTGCGGCACTAAGCGAAAAACGCGTTAAGCAAAAACAATGTCCCCACAAACAATGTAAGAATAAAGTTTGGCGTGAAACGATGAACTACGCACTCACAGCGAGCTGGCGGGACAAATAACTGAGGATACACCGCTCCTTTATTTACTGCATCACTCTGCGTACTGTATCGTACCGCTCAGCCACGCAGCTCAAGAAAGCAATTCGTCATCGACCGCTCAGAAACCGCGTTTTAATGGTGAGCATTTCGCGTTATAACGGTGAGCGTTCCGCATTTTGATAAATGTGTTCTCGAGAAGAACTGCGTTTTAGGGAAAATGGGTTGTATGAACATCCATGAAGCGAGAATTTACCGCACAGGGTGGACCAAAAGTCAAAACACATATGGTAATTATATTACAATCATATAGGGTTAGAGTATTTCATTTATAATCAACGTTTCTGGGTTTAGATCGCGTTGATTATGAATAATATTGGTCGCGAAAGCCTACGTGTTAAACTGAGTATTTCATTTATTTGAAAAAATGTTCAAACTGACTTCTATAAACATTAATTCATACGTGATTTTATTTGATTAATCTAAGATTTTTTTTCAAGATTACAGGTTTAATTTTTGAATATTCGTCAATTCAGTTTTGTCTCAATATTCTGGGTTCTTGGTCGAGTTTGTTAACAAAAGATTTGAGGACACCCCACAGTAAGTATAAAAATATATCATAACGATTTTAAATAACATTTTAATTTATATAATACAGAATTAAAATGATTTAATGGCGGTGTTTAAATAAATGAAATAACGCTATGTGTCCAGACGTTTGGGCCATCCCCGATTAGTATGGTTGGCTACGTACGGTGCGAAAGAAGTGAAAATGAAAAGGCGCTCTGGAAGGTTTTATCAGCATTGCTTTGAAGAACCCAAAGCACACTCGTGTGCCTGTAAGCTGCACGTTAATTAGACTCTGCAAGGCCGCAAATGTGAACCTTGGTCACCGTTGCTTTACAACAGGGGTTGGAAACACTTTGCAGAGACATTTATATATTTAACTAGAGCCTCTGGTCAAATCTCCCGGAATGCACCACAGATGTCGCAAGCCAAACAGGGTTGAGGCCACATGGTAGTTTAATGGGTGACTACCATTGCACAGACAGGTTGTCGTTGGGCACGTTGTCTCCGTATGTCAACAAGCGAGGCATCTCCAACCTGCACGAACCATTTTGCTGATGGCAGCCCTGATGGTCTCTAGAAATTCCATGGAGGAGTTACAACAGCATCTACAACAGGACTTTGATCATCTTCAACTAAATTCCCTAAAACTGGTCCTCAACGCTAATAAGTATAACCCGTAAAAACAAAGTTTTTCACTCTAAATCCTTTATATGCGTGGCGGCTAGAGTCCTCTCGTCCTCTGGCTTGAGATGGTTGCCACCTATGGGTCAGATGATTGTCTGCCAGTATTAAGCAATTGGTAATTAAATATTTAATTTGTTTTCCCTAAACAGTGTAAAATTTTGGAAAAAAATTTTCACGAACATTAATTGTCTCGCACAACGAGTCTGTGTGGAAAATGTCAGCTCGATTGGATCACGGGAAGTGGGTTAAAAAACGACCGAAAGATTTTCACGGTCGTAAGCAAGCAAGCACGCAAGCAAGCAAGCAAGCGAACTTAATATAAAGAATTTAATAAGTATAACCCGTAAAAACAAAGTTTTTCACTATAAATCTTTTATATGCGTGGCAGCGAACTTAATATAAAGGATTTAAAAATACATTCGCCTGTGGAGGACGCAGGGATCGATCCCGCGACCTTTGGCATGGGAAGCGAGGGCGCTACCAACTGCGCTACTCCGCCACGGCCTGTGGAGGGGTTACGCTCTGGGCTCTTATACTGTGACGTTCAGCCAAAGCCAAGAATGAGTTCTATTTGAATATATGTAAAATAAAAAATTTTGCCTAAAGAGTGTACAATTTTGGGAATTGTTTTTCACGAACATTAATTGTCTGGCACAACGAGTCTGTGTACAAAATGTCAGCTCGATTGGATCACGGGAAGTGGGTTAAAAAACGACCGAAAGATTTGCACGGTCGTAAGCAAGCAAGCAAGAACGCAAGCACGCAAGCAAGCAAGCGAACTTAATATAAAGGATTTAAAAAGACCAAAGCTAATTGATTCTCCCTGCAGACGTTCAGTGTGGGCTAGTACAGGAAGCACTAAAGCTGTGTTGGTTTAAGTGCTCCAGAGATGCCCCTCATGGTTGTCCGGAAGTGGGTATCCACCAGGTTTGTATAACGACTCTTGAGCCAGGTTGAGCAGCAGTACTCCACCGTTTGGGCATGTATGCACATACACAAGTTGCACTTCTTTCGCACCATACGTAGCCAACCGTGCTAATCGGAGGTGCGGGTATGGGCGAGTGAAGCAGTGCGTAGCGTGCTGGCTCTGCTTGCTGCCTGCGGTGGTGCCTGACGATTTCCACGCGAGGTTGATCCTCTGTGGCCTTGCATCCTGCACGTGCTGCCAGTACGTCGGCGTAAGGTCAAAGAGTGATGCCAAAGGGATGTTGGTGTTAGATCGTGGGCAAATGATTGGCCACAGAACTGGACAATACATTTGTCCCCTGACCTTCGAGCTGTTTGGCAACAAAATATTCCAAATATGATTAAAAAAAAAGTTTAACACGGAGGCTTTCGTGAAGATAAAAACAACTAAATTGGATTCCAATACAGAAACAAATGTTTTATTCCATCTTAACTCTGTCTGAATATACTGCAGTTAAAGCCACCATTCTGCCCACATGTTATTATTTTGACACCACCTACAGCTTCTGAAACTACATTAAAATGTCTAATTCCATTATATCACTCCGCTGTCCATTTTGCCCTTGATGCGCCCTGTAGAACTCATCATTGAGTCAAACCTGTCACCCCTGGATATCCGGAGAGACCACCGCTGGGCTGTCTTGAACCTAAAGGTCGTTTTCAACAAACGTTAATGACCACTTAGTTGCTCTAACTCCCTCCTGGAGCCTCACAAGTTGCTCCTTATTCTTACAACAACAAAAAGCAATTTGCTTAAACTTTGGTAAACGTTGTCCGTTGCCGCTCCACGTTTCTGGAATTCTCTTGCTGCTCTCTTTTACAACTTCCTTCACACCCCCCCCCCCCACCTCTTCATTTCCCTTTGAGGCCAAAACACACGGAGCTTACTTGCACAAGGACCCCTCGCCTGTTGCTGCTGTTTATGTTACTGTTATGGGGAGCTGTAGTGGAGCTGCGCTTCGAAACCGGCGACCCGAGTTCGATCGCCGCTCGCGGCCAACACCAGTGACAATTATATGAACCGGTCCTGGGCCTCCCCTAGGTCGACTCGGCCTCAAATGAGTAACCTGGTGCCGGTGTGTAAACATCGCCACTAGGGAGACAAAGGCGGTCGGGCGTGGTTCTGGCCACCCAGCCCCTCGTGTGCCGTGCCGGCCGTCATAGGTGCTCGCTAACTGCACTTGCCCCAAGTCTGTTTAGGCTACACGGGGGATCTTTGTCTTTGTTAGACTAAAATACAGATCTTGCTTGTACCCAACCCTTTTAGGCACCTCTTACTCTCACATTTTGCACCGATTGTTTTGCTGCATGACAGTTAAACACCTCGTTTGTTGTCGTGCAATATTCCTGAAATGACCTTGTACACAGCAATATTGATGACCTTTAGTCTTTTGCTGCTGCTGCTGCTGTTTACTGCTGAGTTAACGCGCCACGGATCTCCTTTGTAAAGTAGTCGGGCAACTGACGAAGCTGGATTAGCGTGGAACAAATCGTAAAACAACCTAAGCAGAGGGCAGTGCATCCAAATCCACTCCGCTGCGAGTCTCCGCTCCCCGCATCGATTCTCTCCTCCCGAACCAACGCGCATTGGAGCAGCATGGTGAAGTCCGGTTCCATTATTCCCACGAGGTTAGGAGGCCCTCATCCAGCAGTGGATTGACAAAAGGGGCTGTCCGTGTATATATATCTCACGCGTGCAAAGTAGCCAGGCTGGAGCCCGAGGAGATGCCTCGTGCGAAGGGAGATCTGTGGAGCGTGCAGAAGTGTGGGATGCGAGACGAGGGGCTGCTGGATTGTGACCTCTGGAGCCGTAACTCTCCGCCGCGAACGATGACCGTGACCTCGCTGCATGATGCCGTGTGTTATGAGCTCGCCAAAGAATCCCCCGTGGAGCCTGAACTCGACTGTCGTTTCGCGAGTAGCAGCACCTCTATGGAGGCCGGCACTGTGGCGCACGAAGGGGGTTGGTGGTCAGCACCACGGCCGGCCGTCTTTGTCTCCCCAAGTGGCGATGTTTACGACACACCGGGTGCTCGTTTGAGGCCGAGGCGACCTAGGGGAGGCCCAGACCCGGTTCAGATATATAATCGGTCACTGGTGTTGGTCGTGAGTGGGAATCGAACCCGGGTCGCTGGGTTCGGAGCGGAGCGTGGCGCTAACCACCACGTCACTGCTCCCCATCGCTCACCACCACTCACCGCTCACCACCACTCACCGCTCACCACCACTCACCACCACTCACCGCTCACCACCACTCACCGCTCACCACCACTCACCGCTCACTACCACTCACTGCCCACTACCACTCACTGCCGCTCACCACCACTCACCGCTCACCACTCACCACCACTCACCGCTCACCACTCACCGCCGCTCACCACTCCACACCGCTCACCACTCCACACCGCTCACCACCACTCACCGCTCACCACCACTCACCACCACTCACCGCTCACCACTCCACACCGCTCACCACCACTCACCGCTCAACACCACTCACCGCTCACCACTCACCGCTCACCACTCACCGCCGCTCACCACCACTCACCGCTCCCCACTCCACACCGCTCACCACCACTCACCGCTCACCACCACTCACCACCACTCACCGCTCACCACTCCACACCGCTCACCACCACTCACCGCTCACCACCACTCACCGCTCACCACTCCACACCGCTCACCACCACTCACCGCTCCCCACTCCACACCGCTCACCACCACTCACCGCTCACCACTCCACACCGCTCACCACCACTCACCGCTCACCACTCCACACCGCTCACCACCACTCACCGCTCACCACTCCACACCGCTCACCACCACTCACCACCACTCACCGCTCACCACCACTCACCACCACTCACCGCTCACCACCACTCACCACTCCACACCGCTCACCACCACTCACCGCTCACCACTCCACACCGCTCACCACCACTCACCGCTCACCACTCTACACCGCTCACCATCACTCACCGCTCACCACTCCACACCGCTCACCACCACTCACCACCACTCACCGCTCACCACCACTCACCACTCCACACCGCTCACCACCACTCACCGCTCACCACCACTCACCACCACTCACCGCTCACCACCACTCACCACCACTCACCGCTCACCACCACTCACCACCACTCACCACTCACCACCACTCACCACTCCACACCGCTCACCACCACTCACCACCACTCACCGCTCACCACCGCTCACCGCCGCTCACCGCCGCTCACCGCTCCACACCGCTCCCCACCGCTCACTGCTCCCCACCGCTCACCACTCCACACTGCTCACCACCCCACACTGCTCACCACTCCACACCGCTCATCGCCGTTCACCACCGCGAGCGTACGTACCCGATGCTCTGGATTGCCTGGCGCGTTGGCCACCGTCTGCGACGCGGGGACAGCCGTCGAATAAGCGAGCGGCGCGGACTGCACCACAATCACTCTCAGCCGTGGGGGGGAGGTGGTGGTGGTGGTGGGTGGTGGTGGTGGGTGGTGGTTGTGGAGCGACACCGCATCACGAGCCGCAGCCGCAGCAATGTGGGTCACACGCACACACACACACAGACCTGGACACACACACACACAGACCTGGACACACACACACACAGACCTGGACACACACACACACAGACCTGGACACACACACACACAGACCTGGACATACACACACACAGACCTGGACACACACACACAGACCTGGACACACACACAGACCTGGACACACACACACACAGACCTGGACACACACACACACACAGACCTGGACACACACACACACAGACCTGGACACACACACACACAGACCTGGACACACACACACAGACCTGGACACACAACTGACACACACAGACCTGGACACACACACAGACCTGGACACACACAGACCTGGACACCACACACACAGACCTGGACACACACACACAGACCTGGACACACACACACAGACCTGGACACACACGCACAGACCTGGAAACACACGCACAGACCTGGACACACACACACACAGACCTGGACACACACACACACAGACCTGGACATACACACACACAGACCTGGACATACACACACACAGACCTGGACACACACAGAGACTTGGACACACACACCACACAGACCTGGACACACACACACAGACCTGGACACACACACACAGACCTGGACACACACACACAGACCTGGACACACACACACAGACCTGGACACACACACACAGACCTGGACACACACACAGACCTGGACACACACACACAGACCTGGACACACACACACAGACCTGGACACACACACACAGACCTGGACACACACACACACAGACCTGGACACACACACACAGACCTGGACACACACACACAGACCTGGACACACACACACAGACCTGGACACACACACACAGACCTGGACACACACGCACAGACCTGGACACACACGCACAGACCTGGACACACACACACACAGACCTGGACACACACACACACAGACCTGGACATACACACACACAGACCTGGACATACACACACACAGACCTGGACACACACAGAGACTTGGACACACACACACACACAGACCTGGACACACACACACAGACCTGGACACACACACACACAGACCTGGACACACACACACATACACAGACCTGGTCACACGCACACACAGACCTGGACACACACACACAGAGACTTGGACACACACACACAGACCTAGACACACACACAGACCTGGTCACACACAGACTTGGACACACACACACACAGACCTGGACACACACACAAAGACCTGGTCACACACACACACAGACCTGGACACACACACACACAGACTTGGACACACACACACCTGGTCACACGCACATAGAGACCTGGTCACACACAGACTTGGACACACACACACACAGACCTGGTCACACACAGACTTGGACACACACACACGCCACAAGCAACGAACGCGTGTTAGGGGCCAGCCATTTAGTCCGTACGCATGGAGGGGGGAGGGGTGGTTAACCCAAATGCGTAGCTTGCGTATGGGGGGTCTACTGACAATGTGCGCATAGGAAACGGGGGGGGGAGGGGGGGTGAAGCCCCAATAATAATTTGTCTACACTGGCCTTCAATAGTCCGGCGGTGGACTATCTGTTTGCTTAAACACGTTAATATTATTTATTGTTTCTGCGTGGATTAAATATCGGCCGTTCTATAGGATTAGGGGGGGGTCAGGCGTACGAACGCGTACAGGGAGGGGGGGGGGGTCAATTTTTAGAGATTTTTGCGTACCGACTCAATGCATGGCCCCTTACGTAGCTTGCGAGTTCCCATCGTGCAAATGCCCGGACAATAATTTTACGGCATTGTATAATCTTTTGTTGTTGTTGTTGGGGTGAAGCACTGGTGCAGTGGCTAGGGCGCTGTGCTATTTGTATACGATGATGACGCTGGCTTGCCCACCTACTGTGAAACTGCAGTTGTTGTTCTGCATCTACATCAGCCATACGACAGAAGGACCCAGGAAGAACTGTTTTCCAGATGGGTCCTGCAAAGTTTTTGCAGTAGCGGGCGATGGTGGACACATTGTGCAATCCCAAATGAGGAATATGCGGGGTTTTGTTTTCTTCCGGAGAGGGATGTTTCGCTGCAAGTTACACTGTCGGTTATATAGCCATGAACCCAGTAACTTGCATTATACAGTATCCAGCTCACAGCTCGCATCCAGAACATCGTCATTGGTGACAAGTGAATTGGTCCTGCAGCCCTATTCTACAAACTCGCACAGACTTACATGAAGAATGGTAAACCGAAAACCCCAAGACCGAATGCTGAAGCCATTCATCCAACAGAATAGCAAGTCTATAAATCGTCATTAATTTTTTTTTTACATAATGGTAAATCTTGGGCTGTTAAGCGGATTCAACACGTATTAGCACGTGGTAGGAAAACAGGGTACACACAGAGAAAAGCCTCTTCGAGCAACCTACTTGCTGCACTGCCTCCATCCCACACCAACTGCTTCCTACAGGTTGGAATTCCGCATCCACCATCTCGCCGTCACCTGTCAATATCTTCCCACTGCAGCGATGAGACAATTGGTGTGCGTGTTTTGCCATTTCAAGTGGAGTGCATTCCTTAGCACAGACTGAAACAGCTCAAACGTAGAGCTAAGACTCTGGGGGTGTTCCTGACACTTTCTTAATGAGGCATTTTGGTCAATCTGATTTAGTCAAATGTGCTAAAGTTTTAAGACTGCAGTGTAATTTGTATTAGTGTAGATTTGAAGCTTTCGTGACTGCAAGGATTCATATTCTTAGGGTTTTTCGGAAAAATCACGTAGGTAAAACATCAAAATTAATAAAAGTAAAATAAAATAAAAATCACGACGTTTGAGGCAACACAAGCGTCCGTCTTCAGGTGGAACCGTCACAGCCACGACAGCTGTCGTGGCTGTGACGGTTCCACCTGAAGACGGACGCTTGTGTTGCCTCCGAAACGTCGTGATTTTTATATTATTTTATTTAACTTTTATTAATTTTAATGTTTTACCTACGTGACTTTACCGAAAAAACCTAAGAATATGAATTTGTATTAGTGTTATGTAATTGCCAATTTCGCCTTTAGTGTAACATCAGTATAACATCTGCAAATGGTTGTAAAGTTAATCAGCATAATATTCTGATCATGCAAGTCTCTTGGATAACTTCAGTTCATTAAACATATAAAATCATATTTTAGAGCGAATATGCAAGGGGAAAGCTGCCATCGGGGGGTACCCCCCTTGACTAGACTCCAGGAGGGCAATGATGCAATTAAGTTTGGATCAGATGCAAGGTGCTGAGTTGCAGAGGCTTTTAAGCAAATCAACCTTTAGAAAAACAAGAAGTCAAACGTTCACGCTGAGTTTGTTTTTATTATTTTTTTGTATGCTCATTTAAAAGGATATAAACAATTACCAAAAAAAAATCACTTAACTACTGAACATGATCACACACCTATGCGAGCCAGGCTAAACATAGTAACACGAACAAAGACAATTGTGAATATTACACATTTCAAAAGGTGACATTTCCATAAGAGAAACCATTTATCCCACCAAAAAAAGCACTCAATCCAGAAAAAGAAAAGCATCGCTTTATAGAGATGAGTAAACGGCAGAATTCATTTAATATTTCAAATGCATGGCAGTAGTAAACAACAAAGATCAATGCAAAACTTTTTTTTTAATGAAATTTTCTTTAACCCGTTTCATGCCTGAAACAGCCAAATACCATCCATTGGAAGCTCTGTTGCTTCAGAGTGAACCTAAGCCGACATGGAGAGCTCCGCTCCCTCTAACCTACGCACCCCCCACCCCTTCACGGACATCAGTCAGTGGGAGCCTGCATGTACTGTGACCTGGGGCAAGGGGCACCGTCGGTGATTGGTTAGTTCCAGGAGGCCGCAGCGGTGACGGGTTTGGGTGATTTTAGAGGGTTATTAATCGGGGTGGGCGCTTGTCGGGAACACAGTGGTTAAACGCAGTGTTGCACTGATCGAAGCTACAAAAGCTGGTGTCTGAACACACGTTTACACCCGTTAATCGTCCCACTGCTGAGTTGTTTGAAAAATGCGTCGGAAGACGCGACCATTCTGCACGCGTGATGTCGGAATATCATTCAAAATCCGTTGTGTCAATGTACCGTGAAGCTAAACGCCACAGTGTGAGTATTCGTGGAGGCTGGAGTGGATAAGCCATGCAAGTTGTTTTTGCTTCACAAAGCACGCCACCTCCCCCCACCAACTTCCCCTAAATGAAATGGAACATTCTCACACAAACACTGCTCAGCCACATGCCATTGAAACGGGACGTGAACCCACTTTGCATTTCAGGAGGGGTGGAGAGACTGAGGAGGGGTAAGCAAAGAGATGGGATGGCTTCATGTTGGACGAGCACGTTTCCAAAATTGGGCAATCGGCGCCCCAAATTGCAACAACTAACGTGGGCACAAAAGCCATTTAAATCCTCCAACTGAACATGGCAGTGAATTCAAGTGGAGCGCGTCGCGCCGTTAGCGCCATGCGAAAAACCCGCACGGGCAAGCAAGTCGCAAACCGCATCCAGCCTCAGAACAGTCTCACAAACATCCACCCGCCTCCCCACGAGTGCTGGACGATACAGGTGATCACATTACAGATTGCGTAGAACCACATATAACAGTGACCATTTCGAGAATGTATCATCTTGTCTGGGGGCAACCCCTCTGATTGGGCAACATAGTATTGCCAATAATTATCAATTTTTTGAGAATTATCCTGCGACTCCAGAGTTAACAGTCAATAGCAAATGGTGTTGCGATAATATTGATGGGAGTTTCCAGGCTTGGGATGGTGGCGTCACGATACAAGCGAAGCCGTTACACAGACCACTGCTGCACTGAAAAACAGCGCTGCTGCCAATCAGAGGCGC